TTTTTTTTTGACACGGTCTCACTCTATCCACCTTGGCGTGCAGTGCAGAGGGCGCGATGATCATAGCTCACTGCATCCTCAACTTCTGAGGCTCAGGTGATCCTCCCACCTCAGCCTCCCAAAATTAGCTGAGACTATAGGCATGTGCCCTATGCCCAGCTATTTTTTTGTACTCTTTTTTTGAGCGAGCTGGATTGTGCCACTGTTGCCCAGGCTCACTTTTTTTTTTTTTTTTTTTTTTTTAGACAAAGTCTTGCTCTGTAGCCCAGGCTACAGTGAAATGGTAGGATCCTGGCTCACTGCAACCTAGGCCACCGGAGTTCAAGTGATTCTCTGGCCTCAGCCTCCCAAGTAGCTGGGACTACAGACATGTGCCAGCATTGCTGGATAATTTTTGTAGTTTTAGTAGAGAAGCGGTTTCACCATGTTGGCCAGGCTGGTCTCGAGCTCCTGACCTCAGGTGACCCACCCACCTTGGCCTCCCAAAGTGCTAGGATTACAGGCATGAATCACCGCACCGGGCCCAGGATCACTTTAATTTTTATCAAGAGAAAAAAACCACTTGTACATTTAAAGGCTCAGTAGAATAAGAATTAAAATAACTCAGCAAATTGGAAAACAAAGTTCTTCAAAACATTCCATGAGGTTCAATACAGGAAGCATGACAAAATAGATTTAAGGGCAAAATCAGCCACCAACCAACCTAACAAAGAGAAGACAGTAAACAAACCAACAAACAGTCCTACACAACCCAATTCAGAGTGGGAAGGCCAGGCCAGTGTCAGTTTTACAGGCAAAGAATGGCAGATTCCTGCCGCACAGAAACCATAACTGGTCAACCCTGGAGTGCTGTTATGAACACAGTGAGGATGCAGTGTCAAGAAACTCTCCCTCCATGATATTCTGTTTTAATCAGATGCAAGGTTGCCTTTGTGTGTAGCAAAGATGGGGTATCCTACCTGTTACGATTTGAGGCCCCCAGGGAAGGACCCAATTCCTTAGTCCTCACATCCTCTGGTCTGATGGAGTGAAATGCCACCACAGATTATCCCGCACCCGAAAGGCTTTTTCAGTCCACAAATATATCTGTTTGTTGTTGTTGTTTAGTTTTTGATACAGAGTCTTACTCTGTCGCCCAGGCTGGAGTGATGTGGTAAGATGTCGTCTCCCTGCAACCTCTGCCTCCTGGGTTCAAGCAATTCTCATGCCTCAGGCTCCCAAGAAGTTGAGATTACAGGCACACTCCACAAAGCCTGGCTAATGTCTTTGTATTTTTAGTAGACATGGGGTTGCACCATGTTGGCCAGGCTGGTCTCGAGCTCCTGGCCTCAAGAAATCCACCTGCCTCTGCCTCCCAAAGTGCTCTTATTACAGGCGTGAGCTACCGTGCCCAGCCCAAATATACCTTTTAAAGCATAATACACTAACCCCAAATTGAACTAATCACTTAACTTCATTTTAACAAACTCCTAGAACTCTCAGTTTAAATGCATTTTTATATTGCAGGCTTCCCTATTACCTCCCAGTGAACTTTGTAGTCTTTCTCTATGGAGTTAGCAGGAACTATATATAATTTTGCTTCTGTATTTTGTCTTGCTTTAACGAAACCATCTATTTACAATAAGTCAATCTCTCTGCAATCAGCATTTTGGTAAAGAAGAAGTCAAAGTTAATATTTATCAAGAAATAAGATTTGATATGTTGCAGTTCTCTGGGTAATCGTTGTTGATTCCAGTTGTCTTGGAACAATTATTGACAGTGTCTCCTCTCATTCTCAGAAGTGCAACCTGGGAGGCAGAGGTTGCAGTGAGATGAGATCGTGCCAGCAAGGGTGCAATAGAGCAAGACTCTGTTTCAAAAAGAAAAAAAAAAAAACAAAAGAAGTGCACATAGCCTGTCAATGCTAAGACAGGCATAAGACTTCTCTTCCGAGACTGACCATTTTCCCCTGCTCATGGCCTCAGCTTAATTCTGCGTGTGCTTCTCAAGAAGTGAAGCCCTTGGCTTAGCAGGGACCCACTCGTGCAGCCCTTGTGCAGTAGGAAGGATTTTTCCCTGGAATTCCGTTTCCACAGGAAGAGTGTCCCTGTGGTATCTCCCTGTGGAAAGGGGATTCCAGACAAAAATTTGCTGGTCTGCAATGGGCATGAGGTTAGGAGACATACTTTCCCCAGAGTCACACTGTGCCAAAGCAACAGAGCAAAATGAAGCAACGCACCTGCCACCACGAGGTGCAGGATGGCCTCATCGTAGGACCTGCCTTCTTGGAAGTAACAGCGGTAGGTGCCGTTCTCCTGAGCTGTGATGTTGTGTATGACCAGGGCCACGCTGCCCCTGCTGATGTCTTTGCTCACAAAGGTGGTTCTTCCTCGGTACTCCTCCATCTGCTCCTCTGTCCTCTCTCTCCCACCCTTATACACAAACACTGCGGGGAAGAACTGAGACCGGAACCACCGCACCTCCATGTCCTCAGCATTTTTCTCGGGTGACAGATGGCAGCGTAACGTAGTGTCTTCTCCAACCGTGGCCAGGATGGAATCAGTTGGCCCTACCACAATAAACTGGGCTGTTCAACAAAGGGGTAGAGTCAGACAAAGACACCAGCCATCACATCTCTAAGGCAAGAAAGGAAGCAGATATTCCAGGGATAAACATATTTTTTCCATGGCCATATGGTCTCTTTGGGCTGAGAAATCTGGGGACCAGTAGCTGTGGGTGTCAACAGCACTCCTGGGAGCAGTAACTATAAAATGTGCTTCTGCTTCATGAAGGAAACCCTGGGGAGCCCGCCCTGAGCACCCTCTGTCCACCCTGTGCCCTTGAGGGGTTTTTCCTCCATTCCCCAATCTAGCGCTGTGCCTGAGTGTAGTGTAAACTTGAGCTGTGCAATAGAGCACCTACCTACTAGCTAGTTCCAACTGAAATGAGCTCTAAGTATAAAATATACACAGGATTGTGAAGATTTAAAATTTCAGAATATTGGCTATCTTATTGGTAATATGGTGTATTAACTAAGTATTTAAATATTCATATTTGATTATTTGGGGCGAAACAAAACATAGTATACAGATTTATTTCATGTTTCTTTTTACTTTTTAAAATAAAAAGTAAAATTTAATTCTTTTTTGAAAATTTGCAACTGTACATGCACTTGGCCTTTGTGCCTCGCTGTGTTTCTTTTGGACAGTGCTGGTATAAATTCAGTGAACATGATCAGAATGAAAGGATAAGTCAGCAACTCCACAATCCTTTCTTTCTTTCCCTTTGCAGTTTACAGGGTTGATGTTCCTTTCTGATAGGTAACAGCAGCAAGTGGGACACATCCCTACCTGAGACCAGTGCACACAGTCGGAGAAGGAAGAGGAGGAGGAGGAGGAGGAGGGAGGCTGGCAGGGAGAAGTGCAGGGCAGCAGCTGGTTCCATGAGCACCCAGAGCAGGCAGGGACGGCAGGCCTAGGGTTACAGAGGAGAATCAGCCTAGGAGTCTTGGCACCTCAGTGCTGGTCGGGCTCAACCTCTCCCGTTACTCAAGTAGGTCTCATCAGTGCCCCAACTTCATGGAGTCCCCTGCATCCGAAGGCTCAGGTATCTCCCGAGAGAGGGATTCCTTAAATATTCCATGAAGTAAGCCATCAATGCAAAGATCAATGGGCCCTTTTCCACCCTCCTCGGCTCACTTCTCTGGCCAGAGCCCGGTTTCTTCAGTTGTCGCTGGATTTGATCACACCCTCCTCCCTTCACTTCCCCCTCCCAGAGACTCAGGCCGGGCAGCCTGAGGTAAAGCCAGGCGAGGCCGCGACCCCCCACCGGTGGGCTTCCCCTCTCCCAGAACCCCGTCTCATGTCCACAGCAGATTCCGCTTCCCCCACCTACTGTGCCCACCCCGGAGCTGTGGCGCCTTCCTTCCCTTTCCTACCTTCTAGAATTAACGTTGCGTTTTCTTTTCTCCTCTGGTTCTCAAATGACGATTCTCCAGTCGCCCCTCTTCTCTCCAAGCTGCCCAGGGGCACAGGCACTACTAGACACAAACCGTCCCAAAAGAGGAGAAAAAATTGGTCTTCCCCTTCCCCTAGGTCGCCATGTCTGGAGATGCAGGAACCGAGATCTGGACCACTGGGCTTCCACAGCCTCAAGATTTCCCTAAAGAGTTTAGAGTCCAGGATTGGCCGGGTGTGAGTGAACCAGCCAATGGTGTTGAGCCTTATTTCTCAGCAGTTACTAGGTAGAAAAACGGAATCAAAAATTTCAAGCAGCAAATAACCTTTCGAGATTATCGGGCCTTTTTATTTCCTTTTTCTTTGTTCGAAAGCAAGACTCTCTCTCTCTCTTTAAGATTCCTTGGGGAGATTCCCTTGGGTTTGTCACCGAGGTCGGTGGCTTTGCTGGTGTCCGCGAGGAGAGGCCTCTCTATGAAGAGGGCAATTTTGCTGGGGAGGAAACATGAGGAGGAAAACATAAGCCACCCTTTTTCCAAAGCCAGAGGACCCTTGTTCAAGTCGCTGGTTTTGGAGGTTGGGCTTGGAGCACGGAAGGGCTTGAGGGAAGCAGGCATGGCTGGTGGGGGAGGGGTAGCAAAGGAAAGGAGACAGCAGTTGCAGTGGCTGTTATGAAGGCCTTGTCATTCATTCCAAAGCTGTTGGATAAGAGGTGCTGAGAATCCTGAGTGAGGATCAAAAACCCTTTCCTTCAGGGAAGTGGCATTCTGGTGGCGGCAGAAGATGGAATTGACCAAAACTTTCTAGTTGTCCTTCACCTTCTAGATAGTAGGTGGTCAGGTTGGGTCCAAGAGCCACACACAAACACACACACCAGCACACATACCATCCTCCCGTCAACATCATCCCTCTCCCAAAGGCTCCAATTTGTAATTGTAAAGATATCTTCCAGAATAATCTTCCCGAGGCCCAGTTGTCAGTATTCCCCTCAAATGTCTAAATGCTTAGTCTGGAGGCCTCCAATTCCCTTCTGATTCAATTCAAAACTGTGCAGTTAATATGCTAGCAATGGCTCCACAGTGGCCTTGCATCACAACATTGCACTCCCTGTGGCCAGCACTCCCTTTCCCACGCCATGCCTTTCACTTGAATTGTTTGCTCCATCTCTGACCCTTGAAATCCTGCCCAGGCTTCGTGACTACTTCCTCCAAAAATAACTCTGAATGTTCCTGCCTGAAGTGTTCTCAGCCGCTTCTGACACCTAAATCTTTTGCTGTTCCCATGTCCTGTCTTGTATTATTGTTACTCAGGTATGAACTGTGTCTTTGCTGTGATGGTAGTACCTGCTTCTCAGGACAGACTTCTGCAGGATGTGATTCCTCTCACCTTACAGGGCCCAGCTCTAAGCTCTAAGCTCTGCTTTCAGCTGTTGTTCAATGCATGTGTGACATGCTGAGTGTAAGGTCATTCCCACCACATTATGGCCCAGTTCCTGGAGTCATTTGGCACCAGAGTGCGCGAGAGAGGTGCTAGTAGGATTAAGCCACTCTAGGTCAGGATTTCTAGGACTGGGAAGGAGGAACCAGTAGGTTCCTTCTGCAGAGAAAGCTCTTTGATGAGAATAAACTAAAGAAAGCTCGGAGAACTATTTTTTCCATTGAACTGACCCTTAAACTTTCTCTTTCTCATACAGTAGTCTCACACATCACCTGATGTTTCTCTATTATCATTCAAATAAGATTCTGGGTTGAGTGGCTCATGAGGGTAAATACATCAGTATTAGAACATTCCAAACAGGACTGGGCAGCTGTTGAGAAGAGGCAGAAGAGAAGGATGCAAGGGTCTAAGAGCATGGTCAGCCAGGATGAGATCTGACTTTATATTTTTTTACCTGAAGAAATAAGGCCCAGGGCTTTGAAGCAGCCCTTTTGCCAGAAGCATCCAGCTAAGCCAGGCCTCAGCCTCTGCCAAAGTTGATCTGAGCCAAAGGGAAACATGTGTGTTCTGAGAAGAAAGAGGATCAGTTGAAGATGGGGTAGCTTAGAAAGAAATCAAGTTCTACTGGGGTGTGCCTGGTTAGATAGTAACAACCTAACCCAATCATGCTCTGTAGTGGGAGGGATAGAGACAGGAAGGGTTACTTTAGCAAGGTTCTTTATGGACCTGCCAACGCTGGAAGAACCAGGACACAGGGTGAGCACTGATTCCCTTTTGCTTTGCAATAAACTACCGTCTTTGAAGGTAATATGGGTGTGTCATCTCCAGCTATGGAGTACTCCCAGGGGAGGCCTAGACATCTTGGCACACAAAAAATCCATTCCTACTCTGCCCTGTTCAAATTCTAGATTCCTGACCCACAGAATCACTGAACATATTATAATAGTTGCGTAAGCTTCTGAATATCAGGACTATAGCAATATTAATAAGTACATTTATCTTGCCTCAAAAGAACAATTTTTTTCAAAGAGAAGAAATGATACTGAGTTTCTAAAAGAACCAAACACAAGAAATTTGCCTAAATTCTTTCCATTTTGTAGCCTTCTCTCTGCTCATCGGCTTTGGTGTTCTCTCTGCAATCCACCATCGTTTAGTCCACACCATGAATGGAACAGTTCTTCCCACAGCTCCCATGCACATCTGCTACAGGTGTAACTGGTCACATGTCACTTGGTCCTCTGGCCTAGCCTGGGTCAGGTGTCCATCCCAGACCCAGTCCATGTGGTGAGGCTGCAGTGCCACGTGATATGGACATGTATTGGAAGAGAAGAGGTCACTAATGCTAAATGTGGTACAGGGAGGGTAGAGAGACCTTGAAAGGCGTTCACTATATTCTCAGAGGCAGAGCCCTTAGAACAGGCACTGTTGATGTCCCATCCCATATTCTCTTGGCCTATCACAGTTTGCCAATAGCTAAGGCACAGTTTTCTGCAAGGATGACAACCTCCCCACCTCCAGTATTTCGCTTCTCCTTTGCCTGTGAGCTTTATCACACCCGTGATAGTTGCTTTTCTGCAGTTACATAGCCCAATCTTAAAGTGCATTAGAATTAACACTCCCAGGCCAACCTTCAACCAATTCAAGCAAAGGAGGATGGGAAGTGGAGATAAAGTCCCAGGTCCCATAGTCCTTAGGAAGATTCTGAGCTGTATCACACATTTCATATGGTTTCTTAGAGAGTCCTAAAAGGGATTGAGCCAAGTTATCCACATGGTAACTGACTCATGAGTGAACCCTTTATCCCATTTCTCATGTAAGTGGCTTTCTTTCATTTCTCAAATTGTTTCTGCACTTGTGTTTCCTGGGATCACTTCCCAAATCAGTGTGGTGAGCTGAATAGTGCTGCCCCTACCCACCCTTTGAGCTATATCCACTACGAAAGTTATGAAAAGAATGTATAACACGGTAAAATGAATTTTATACAGAATTAAGATTATGGACCTTAAAATAGAAAGATTATTCTAAATTGTCTGGGTGATCTCAGTTTAATCATAGGAGTCTTTAAAAGTAAAAGGCAGACTGAGCGCAGTGGCTCATGCCTATAACCCCAGCACTTTGGGAGACCAAGGTGGGTAGATTGCTTGAGCTCAGGAGTTTGAGACCAGCCTGGGCAACTTGGCGAGACCCTGTCTCTACAGGAAAATACTCCGGCATGGTGATGTGGGCCTGTGGTCCCAGCTACTTGGGAAGCTAAGGTGGGTGAATTGCTTGAGCCCAGGGGACAAAGTATGTGGTGAGCCGAGATCACGCCACTGCACTTCAGTCTGGGTGACAAAGCGAGTCCCTGTCAAAGAAGGAAGAAAAAAAAAAAGGAGGAGGTAAAAAGAATCAGAGAGATACAATGGAGAAAAAGATCTAGGAGATGAGCCTCAATGCACTGTTACTGCTTTGAAGATGGAGGAAGGGAGCTAGGAGCCAGAGTGTGGCAGCCTCTAGAAATGGGTAAAAACCAGGAAACAACTGGGACCTCAGTCCTATAGATGAAAGGATCTGATTCGGACAACAGTCTGAATAAGCAAGGAAACAGATTCTTCCTTAGAGACTCCAGAAAGGAATCCAGCCTGCAGACACCTTGATTCTAGCCTGGTGAGATCCCTGTGGGACTGACTTCTTACCTACAGAACAGTGAGATAATACATTTGTGTTGCTTTAAGTTTATGAATTTCTGAGGCCAGGCATGGTGGCTCATGCCTGTAATCTCAGCACTTTGGGAGGCCGAGGTGGGTGGATCACGAGGTCAGGAGATTGAGACCATCCTGGACACCATGGGGAAATCTTGTCTGTACTAAAAATACAAAAAATTAGCTGGGTGTTGTTGCATGCACCTGTAGTCCCAGCTACTTGGGAGACTGAGGCAGGAGAATCACTTGAACCTGGGAGGCAGAGGTTGCAGTGAGCTGAGATTGTGCCACTGTACTCCAGCCTGGGAGTAGAACAAAGAGAATACATTCAATAAGGGTTTTGTGAAAATGCTGCAGTGAGGTAAACTGAGACTGTGGTGAGTACAGTGAGTGTGCAGGCTACTTTACTTTACTGTGCTGAGTAGACACCACAGTCTAGAAAAAGCCAAGTTGAAGAGTAAGCATTATTAACACTTTATTAAACAGCTAGAACTTGACAACCACTTGCCAAGTAGAGGGGATACAGTGGTGAGCATTAATAGTGACGACAATGAGGAGCAGTTTTCCCTAGCAGGCATCAGTTGAAAGGAATATGGGTTTAACATCCACCAATGATCAGGGGTGGACAGACCTATTTCCAGAAGACTGAGTCCATAGCGGGATTAAAACCATCCCTGTAATTCTTCTAGCTTCCTTCATCCAAATTTCCTATATCACAGAGAGTCTTTAGGGTATTTGTTCTGCCTGGAAACCTTGACCGTAGGAAGGCTGGCACTGGCTGCGCGATCACTTATCACATTTGTTGGGTGGGCACACATCTCTTTCACGTGATTTATCAAGTGTGGCCTCTAGTCTCTTTCCAAGTCACATGTCATGTGGGTACTATGAGGTTATTCTCTCAACCAAGACACTCTGCAGAGCTAATCTAAGGAGTGTTGTGTCTAAGGCTCTGATAATCAGCTGGGAAGGAGTCAATAGGGGTGTCAACTCCACAACCACTTACAATTATCTCTACCCTGAAGCTGTTCTGGGAAGAAAACCTCAGGGCTACATGGGGGCTCTTCCCAGGGAAAAAAATCGGGCTGGAAAAGAATGGGCAATTAGCCAGGGACTGAGGCTGAACATCTCCTAACTACACAAATTACCGTAGGAGTTATGTAAGTTACTTAACGTTGCCCTGCCTCAGCTTTCATACTTGCAAAATGAGACCACCCCATGGGGTGTTGTGACGTTCAAAGGAGTGACATCCACCAAAGCGTACAACACAGCACTCAGAACAGTTTAAATTATCTGTTAATATTAGCTATTGCTATTTAAATCCCAGCTCTGTTGTTCACTAGTCATGTCTGCTTTGTAAAGTTAATTCACCTTTCTGCACCCCAGTTTCCTTATTTGTATAAAGGAACAATAGGTGGTACCAAACTCAAACAACTGTCATATGGAATAATTGAATGAATATCAGTAAAGTGCTTCAGTGCGTGCCTGTAGCTTTATGGTTCTGATTGGTTGTTGTGGAGGGGGAGGCCATCAACTCCAGGGTGGGCAGGGAGAAGCAGAGATGTTGCTTCAGCCTGAGGCTCCCCACTTTCATTAGCTAAATCCGGGGCCACTGGTGTCTCCAGGGAATGATCAGGCACTAGGTCAGGATTGGGGGAACTCTCTACTTGTTTTGGTATTGGGCAAATGGTCAGGGCAGTGGGCTCCAAGGTCAAAATTCTGAATACAGGATACAGAGGCTCAGAGAAAGAGGTGTGCGGAAAGGTGTAGATATGAGATCCATCCGTGGCATTGTAGAATGAGATCTCTCCAGTCTCATAATCCAGGAAGATTCCCACTTTCCTAGGGGGCTCAGGAAGTTTCAGGTTTGTTCTGGGATCAGTGAGAGCCCGATACTTATTCCCATCAGTCAGCCCCATGGTCCAGTATCCATTCTCTGGTGTCATTTTGACCCAACCTTTTTTCCTCTCCACGTTTTTACTACACACCCCAATATGCCATTCTTTTCTGTCCCCCACTTCCACTTCCCAGAAATGTCTCCCTGATGTGAAGTTTTCACGGCCAAGCACACAGTAACGCCATTCAAATCTCTCAGGGTTGTCTGGCAGATCCCGCGGCTCTTCGGCACGCTGCACACTCCTCTGGTCCTCAGAAACAAGGAGGATGGCATTTGCCGTGTCTGGATCCAGAATCACATCCGCTGCAGAGAGTTTGAGGAGGTGTCCATGGGGTCAGCCATTTTTCCTGGATTTCAGAGCCTCAGCATGCAAGGCCTGGACCATGCTGAGGAGGTCCTTACAGAACCTGGCGTCCCTAGCCTGCCCTGAATTTGACTGTCTCATCAGTGTTGTGGGAGAAAGCTCAAGGGGTCTTGTGTCCAGAGTGGAAATGAAAGTAAGGTCAGTATCTGCCTAATCCAATACCCTGATGCTGCCCCAGGAAGCAACAAGGATCCTCTTGCTACATTTTTCTTGTTTCCCTCCCCACACTGACTCTGCCCCCTAATGCTTTATAATCAGAGGTTACTTTTCAATCTTCACTCTACCACTCATGAACTAAATGAGTTCCCCTTTTCTGCAGTCTATTTTTCCGTACATCCAATTTATTTAACAAGGTGGAGCCTCATCTGAAGCATTTCCTCACCTGAAAAACGGGGATAAAAATATGAATCTCTAGCATAGTATAGGGGAATCATTTATTCAGCCCACAGCAGGGCATGAAGGAAGCTCCTGATGTTCTAATAGCTGCAAGGCAGTCTCTGTGCTGGGCTCTGTGGGGGGCCCCAGATTCACTCTCCAACCTTCAGCTTTCTCCACCTTCTTCTGGGCCCCAGGAATCTGTACTCTAAGGACAGTGCCACTGGACTCCCTTGTTCTCTGGTTTGCTGTTGGGTTTGGCCAATGGGAGGCCCTGATAGAAGATTGGAAGAAGAAAGAAAGGAGAGACACACCGTTTGTTTTCCTGCTTCCTCCCTGCCAGCAGCAGCTGGTGCTGCTCTAACAAGGCCTGATGACTCTTCTCAGGAAGCCCTGTCTTTGCGCTACTTTTCTCTGGTTTCCAGTAACTGCCTCCCCTCCCTAGGAGTGGAGACAGCTCCCCACTGTTGGGAACCATGGGGGCACTGCACTTTTCCTTGTTGCTGTCCCTTAACCCTCCTTTCTGCAAACCTTCAACCACGCAGTGTGAACTCATCATCTCTTTCTAACTAGGTTTTTAACCAATGGATATTTATTATTCCTTCAGTCTTCACCTCAACCCCAACAAAACACAGATTGCAATTTTCGTTTAAAAATGTGGAGGCCAAAGCTCAGAAGCATTAAATCCTTTGAGGTGACACAGGCGGTAGGTGGCATGAGAAGCCTAGGAAGGGTAAAGTTCTTTGGGCAGGCATCGCCTCCTCTCCTTGGCATTTCCACCCTCACTCTCCCTGCAGTATCACTCAGTGTGTATCTCCTTCTCCTCAGCTCTACCCTTTATGTGTCTTCCTTCCCAGGAAGGTCTGAGGAAGCCCAAGAGAGCAATTCTTTCTGGTTCCCCGGGCTCTCAGCAGGAAGGGTCTTGGAGATGGGCCCACTTTTCAGATTGGGATTTAATGTTGTCTATCCCAAACTCTCTTAGTCAAGGGAAGTTTTCTTCCCCAAATCACAAGAGTTGGAGGAGGAAAAAGGCATACGGTCCCTCAGGTTGTTGGTCCAGGGAACACATAGTGATTTACTCACCAGGCTTGAAGAGGGCCATTTTCCATTCTGAAAGGAAGGAGACACAGATAAGAAAAAGGTCAGTAGTTTTGTTTTTTCTCCACTCCATTCTCCTTTCACTACACGTTTTCTCTCCTTTTCTTCAGCGTCTCTTCTAGGGTTCAGCTTCCCTCCTGTACAGGTCTGATGGATCAGAGGTGGCACCTTCTAAACAATGTCATGAGGAGTGCAGGCTGCACAGCTATGCTTTGCCTGGGCATGTGCAGGGTCAGGAGTCTCTCAGAGGCTCCAGAAAAGCAGAAGTCAACCCCGTACCATGCAAAATTGAGTCTATGGGTTAGAACTGATTAATCCAACTGAGAACGTCAATGAGTCACAGCAGAGAAAAGGTTGAAATGTTCATGGTACATGACCCGGCAAACCCAGAGAGCATCAGGCTCACTCACCATGATAGGCCAAAGACTTCTCTCCCCCTACAATGAAAGAAAGACAGAGATGTCACATGAACACTGCCTTTGCTCTGTTGGTCCCTTCCCCTTCTTTTCGCGTCCATCTAGTCTTTCTTTTTGACCATTTCACCCTTCCCTATGGTCTCACTCTGCATGCTGAATTCTCTCTTCACCTCTTCTTCTTAATATCCAGTCTGGGAACACTGGCTGGATGCTAGTGGCAATGCAGTCACTGTGAGAGTTCCTTCCCAATGGAACCCACCTAATCTATTTTGAATCTGTCTATACTCCTGTGCCTGGGCATAGGTGTCACCATGTCTATATGTGAATGTCTAGGAGTACAAGATCCATCCTTGTCAATCTGTATCATTTCCTACCTTGCTCTAAAAAGAATTTGGGAAATTTAATGCACAATTTCAGGGACTAGTTTTGAAAGCAGTTATGATAAATCTGTACGAACTGAGCCACTGTAGCTACTCCTCTTTATTAGACACACTTTACTCCCGCTCTCTTTTCTGATTTTCTTATCTCTTAAATCTTCCCTTCTTGTTTTCCTTTCAACCTCCTCTAGATTATGGAAAACAATATGTAAGGTTCCTGCCATAGAAAATGCACCTCATCCTTCTCTTCCCTCTCCCTTTTGAAGTGCACCCCTGGATATTCCTCAGTGCTTTTTAGGGCATAAATGTCTGTGGCCCCTAGTACAAAGAGATTGAAGACCTCTTTTTCTTTTCTTAGAGAGAGAGAGAGAAGAGAGAGACTCCTTCTGGGTGGTTTCTCCAAAGAGCCTCATTTATTTTCTTTTCCTGAGTAAGGGGATCTAACCAGTTTTCAATCCTGGGCAAAGACTTATGGGCTGGAAAATTTCCAAGCAGAAGAGAGTCCTAGATTCAAATTCAGAGAAAATGTCAGAGTCACTCACGAGCCACGTACTGGATTTTTCTCCACTCTGCAATGGAATGAACAGTGAAGGAACAGTTATCAAGGCGCTCAAAGTGGGGATAAGAAGACATGCCTGGATCTCTGGGGGATTGGGAACTTACTGAGTTCCTCCTGGAGCTTCTCTGGAAAATAAGCAAAAAAAGAGAGAGAGAGAGAAAAAAAAAAAGAACAGTTATGGGTGAGGGGGATTTCGGGAAAATAAACCTTAAACATGATGCAGTGCCAGGACGGGTATGGGGGTGAGGTCTTTGGGCTGGGCATGAAAGCCTGCGGCTTAGATTCTCTGTTTTCTTTGGATACCTCTTAGGCTTATTTCCTGCTTTGTTGCAGCATATTCCATTTCTTTCATCTCTCGCTCTCTTTCTGTCTCCCTGGACAAGGCAATTTTTTCCTTCTGTTGTCTCCACAAGAAGTAACTGGCTCCTGCGAGAAGCAGCAGTGAGATAGGCAGGGTCCCTGCCAGGGCTGTGATCCAGGGCTGGGCGTTCCTGAAGAAGGGGTCTGTGAAAGGGAGAGCTGTGAGTCATGGGCGCTGGTGCACTCAGCCTCCCCAACTTTAGCGCCCCAAGCTTTAGCTGCTCAGCCCAGGTTGGGGGCATGGAATCTATCTCATTAGGTTAAATAAGTGCCCTCTCCCTAAAGTCTCAGAGGACCGTAGAGAACACTTTGGTAAACCCTCACTATAAGCTACTACTGTTACTATCTTGAGACGTCTGCCTCTCATATGGAAATTAACTTGGGCAGAGTCATACTCATTTTTTTCCTAAATATTTTTTCAACCAGTAACACATTTACATGGTTCAAAAATGACGTACACGTAGAGTCATGCAACTCTCCCATCTACCTAGTACTCCCTCCCTCCATCTATTAACTTCTCCTTGGTTCACTTAATATGATGCTTAGGGACATAAACTGTGGAGTCAGAGGGCATGGGTTTAAATGCTGGCTCCCCCATGTGACTAGCAGTGTGATGTTGGACTACTTATATAATCTCTCTGTTTATAGTGGCCTATTCTATTAAATGAGGGTAATGATAATACCCATCTCCTGAGGTTAGAAGAATTAAATTAATACTTATAAAGGGCCAGATGGGCTTGGCACAGTGGCTCATGCCTGTAATCCCAGCACTTTGTGAGGCCAAGGCAGGCAGACCTTGATCAGGAGTTCAAGACCAGCTTGGCCAACATGGTGAAAACCCATGTTTACTAAAATTACAAAAATTAGCTGGATGTAGTGGCATGTTTCTGTAATCCCAACTACTAGGGAGGCTGAGGCTGTAGAATTGCTTCAGCCCAGGAAGCGGAACTTGCGGTGAGTCAAGATTGTCCACAGCATTCCAGCCTGGGTGGCAGAGTGATACTCTGTCTCTAAATAAGTAAATAAAGTGCCTGATGTACAGCGAGCGTTACAAAATCGCTTGTTAAATTTTAAAAATGTAAATTAAATAACACAATCAAGAACTAGAAAAGTCCATTAAAATATGTTCCTATTTTTCCTCTTGTTTAAACTAAAAATAACATTCTATACACATCACTCTGCATCTCACTCTTCTGTGTAAAGTGTGTCTTGGAGATCTTTCCACATTAGTATAGAGAGAATTATCTCTTTTCTTTCACAACTGGGCAGTATTCCCTTGTATGGAAGTTCACCATCAGTTAGCATCTGTATAGCTTCTAACGTTTTACAATCATAATCAAGAAACTTCTTACAGGCTAGACTGGTGACTCACACTTGTAATCCCAGCACCTTGGGAGGCTGAGACAGGCAGATCAATTGGGGTCGGGAGTTTGAAACCAGCTTGGCCAACATGGTGAAACCACATCTCTAGCAAAAATATAAAAATTGGCCAGTTGTGGTGGTGCGTGCTTGGCCGGCTAGGGGAGGCTGAGACAGGAGGATCTCTTGAATTGAAGAGGAGGAGGTTGCAGTAAGCTGAGATTGCACCATTGCACTCCAGCCTGGGCAGAAGAGTGAGACTCCCTCTCCAAAACCAAACAAACAAACAATCAACAAACAAACAAAAAAACCCCAGAAACCTTTTACATGGATCATCTCATACAAATGCAAGCATATCCCAGAACTGGAATTTTGGATCAATAAATACATAGTTTGGATAGATCCCCCAATAGAGCTTGTGCTAATGCACACCAAAAATACAAGTGACACGACCAAATGACTGAGAATCACTGCCTTCCTACATTCCTGCTATAATCATGCGTTATCAAGCAAGGCAGTGTGGTTTTGAGTTTTGCCAATATCGTAAGTGAAAAATTATTTCCTATATGTTTGCCTAATGAGTGAGATAGAGCAACCTTTTGTGGGTTATTTCCTTTCCTGTGAATTAACAATTCTGGACCTTTGTTAACATTTTTTACTCAGTTTTCAGAATCTTCTGTTTCAAAAAGATTAGCTCTTTCTCTATGAGTTTGTAAATATATATATGTTTTCCCATTTTGTCATTTGACTTTACATAAGGAGCTTATCTTAACGTTTCTCCCCAATTCCCACTGCCTGTCACACTTTCTGTTTCTGTCAGACAGGAAGTGATCAGTAAATGTTTGTGGCGTGAACAGCTCTGTGGAGTGGGGAAGCTCCCCTGGAGCAGGGAGTGGCCTCCAGGTCCCTGCTTTGAGCCTTACATGCAGTGCAGAGACCCAGGTTGACCGCAGAGACTCACACAGTAGAGACTCACACATTCCCTTTCATCAACTGCCACAGTTCAGCTCAGTAAAGCTGAGGCCAAGCAGGGTACTGACCTGTGATGGAAATGCTGGCTGTCTTTTCCAGGCCAAGGAGGGAATTTCTGATGATGCAGGATACACCCTTCCCAGAGCTGCCTCTCATGATCACAGATGCTGCTATTGCATACAGGCCCACTCCATCTGCAATCACAGTTGCTTTCACAGCCGGGATGTCCTCTCCCTTGTCGTTGCTCCACTGTATTTGGGGTTGTGGGTACCAGCCAGTGGACCTGCACTCCAGATGGATCCCTCCATCCTCATAACCTTTCACTTCAATGTGAAGATCAGAACCCAATGCTGTGGAAGGTTAAATTGACATAAATTCTTGAGAACTCCTGTATCAGGGAGAGTCTCAATAGGAATCAATGGCAGACTCACATTTGATAATTCTAGAAAGATTTCATTCAGGAGTTATTTACACAAGTGTGGTCATGATGAGAAGAAAACTAAATGGGCTAGTGCAGTATCCCAGGGTCAGTAAGGTGGGGCTATTCCCACCCACCCCAATTACCAGAGGGAGGAGAAGAGGGATGTGTTCCGTAGACATAAAAGAAGAGATTGATGCATTGAGGACTTTCTTGAGTTGACCTGTGACCTTCAGCAAGGCAATGCAGCCATCCTGAGGGTATCTTGCAGTCAGGAAGCCAGGGAATAAGCACCCAGACCTCTCTCCCTTTTCTCTTCTTCCTACCATTGTCTTCTATAGCTCCCCTTAAACCAAACCCAACCAGAAGCCATGAGGCAAGGGATTGCACTGAGAAAGAAAAAAGTTGTCCTCGGTATCTGGAACCTGACACCAGGTCTTGGTATCCACCTGTTGAACATGAACAATTTCACAGAACACAAACAATAGTACTTTATCACTGTGACAGATCATGGGAAATACAAGACCACCCCACATCATGTGTGAGTGCAGAGAAAAACATGAACATTGTCCAAACCACAACAATGACCAAACATCCCCCATCTGCAGTGAGGAATTTCTGCCTCTTCATCAGTTACAGCTTTAGTTTCACCCTAGTCTCCTTCCTCTTGGATAAGCTTGATTAAGGCTCCCGCTCGTAGAATTCGTCTCCCGACAACTTCCCGACAGTATCTCATCCAGAGCAGAGTGCTAAGTCTATAAACCATCCCCCAAATCCCCTAACACAAGCCCACATTGTGTAAGTCTGCTCTAAAACTTCCTTACTGAGATACTGCCAAAGCTCACCATGATGTGTGTTCTTCCTCGCTGCAACAAGTAAGAAACATGCCTCATTCTACTACAAAAATGTTTCTGGGAGTCACTGATTGGAAAACACTGGCAGCAGATACAGTCACTATTCCACCTCCCAGGGCCCATGGTAGTGTGCACTTGGAGACACAACAGAAGCCGTCTGTTACACAACTAAACCAAAATGACTGTGTACCAGTCACTGAAGAGGTGATTTCTAATGCTTCCTATCCTTCGTCCTTCATTTCCCTTATATCTCTGGTCTCCAGCGGGAGGGAGTTTTTTACTTGAGCTTGTATGGTATAGCAGGAATTCTTTCTAAAGAAGGAGTGTTTCTTTCTTAAGGGCCTCAGGGAAGCTAAGTTGGAAGGCAGTGCAGTCAATTGCTAGTGATCAGCCAGGAGTGTCTGCAGTGCTTTTGGAAGAGGGACTCTGCCTCTGCTCTAGATCCTACAGAGAAATGTTCTCAGAACCAAACTCGGAGGCTCACCTGCAACCTTCAGCTCCACCAGGGCTTTTTCATAGAAATCACCATCTTGGAAATAACACAAGTACTTTCCACTGTCAGAGGCTGTGACGTTGTGTATTCGGAGAGCAGCCTTCCCTGCAGTGATGTCATCCCGTAGAATCGAAGTTCTCCCACGATACGGTGCACTCTGCCTGTCTTCCACTTCCTTTCCATCTGCATACACGTTCACCACCTGCCTTAGGCTGGAACTCACCCACCTCAGCTCCATAGTCTCTGCACTCATGGTCGGGAACAGGTGACAGGGCAGATCAACGTCTTCACCTACCATGGCCAGGATGGGCCCATGGGGTCCAAGCACAGCAAACTGAGCTGTCGGCACAGAGGGAGGTTCTGTCAGAGGGTGTTGGAGTTGGGGTCATGAGAGGAAGGGTGCTTCTCAGACAGGGAAGGCGAGGTGCAGAGAACCTTGAGGGGAAACCATTCCTAACAGAAGCACCCTTTGTCTCTTTGTGACAGGTGATCCTTCAGGTTGGAATGGACTTCCAGGTATGGGAAGGAGTAAAAAGTTCTATGAGGACATTCATAGGTATTTGTCTGCTTCAGAAACAGGCATTGAGTCATTCCCTACCTGAGCAAGGAGTAAGCAGCTGGACCAAGAGGAGGCAAACACGAAAGTTGAGCAGAAGAAAGGCCAGGGAACTTGCCATTTTCACCTGTGCTGCATATCAGGAGACACCAGAAGGTAAGGGACAGACACAATGGCCCAGAAGAAGCTTTAGGATTCCACATGGAAACGTCCACTTCCCCAGGGGCAACTCAAGTATGGTGACCAAAGAAGATCTTACCTCTGCCAAAAAGGTCTGTCCTCAGTGTCTTTACCTTTGAGTCCCAACATGGAAAATTATCTATAAAACCATGTCTATGTATAATGCACATGTTATTCAACCAAGAAATCCTTGACTGTACTGCTTGAAAATATTCAGAATCCTATCACTTCCCCAAACTTCCCCTACCATTTCCAACCCTCTGCCATCCTGCTCTGTTTCATGCAGGACCGTCTTTACTGGGCTCCCTGGTTCCACTGGGATCCACCACTGTGGGTGTCCAACACTGTGGACTCCTCAAAGCCCCAACTCTTGGCCATCACCATGGTCAAGTCATGGCCCAGTGGACTCCTGGTGGGATTCAGGAAGACTGCCTGGTGGGGGCTCTGGAATCAGTCAGGGGTTGAACCCACCACATTTAATCCAAGGCTAGTGATCAGAGAGCTGCAAATTAAGACCAGGACTTACTCATCATTTCTTTCTTCCCTTCATAAAATCATTCAACAAATATTTACTGAGCACCCACAATGGGTGAGGACTACTATATTAGTGTTAAGGACATAAAGAAGGTAAGCAATAGGTAAAGCTCTAAGATTCACAAGCTGCGTGATCTTGTTCATGGGACAAAACCACTGGAACTTTCTTTTTACATACAATACCATGAAGTATGAAATTTAGAAAGTGCACAATTGGTTGAGCAATTCCACTTTCTGATGTCTAGTCCAGCAAAGTACTTGCATGGGTGCAGTGAGAAGCCTCTGTGAGAATGACGTTGCAGAACTATTTTTAAAGTATAAAAGTGGTAACTAATTGAACCATCCACTCAACAGGAGACTGCTTAGAGGAATGACAGCTCATCCCTCAGAGGGAATTCAATGCAGCAGGTAAAAAGAGTTGATTTATTGTCATGAACCTAGGTAATGGTGATACACTAAGCGGTCAAAAAGCACATTGCAGAACTATACTAATGATTCAATTGAAAAACAAAAGCTAAGCTATACATTTCTGCATATTTATAGATGTAAATGCCTGCAAAAGTCTAAAAAGATGCATGCTAAACTGAAGATCGGAGGTTAAGTGAGCGAAAGATCACTTTGGCCTTTTGCTCCCTTTACTTTTAAAATATTGAAATGCTTTAAATTTAAAATTTTTCATGTGCTACTTAACAGTAATTATTATGAGTGATAATACTGACTGGAACATATTAGCTGCTCAGTAAATACTAGCTTCTCAACAGCTTCTTCCAAAGCAAAGGAGCATGAGGTCTGCAGCCATAACACCCGCTGCTGTGGCCACCTGAGTCTGGGAATGGCCTCTGAAAACAAGGTCTGCAGACAGACGTCGGGAGGGATGAAGAGGAAGCACTGGAACAGAGGTCTGTGCAGCCGGCCATCCTCCACCCCTACCTGCATCTTGCACCCACCCAGACTAAACATTGCATTTCACATCTTCTGTTCCTCAAAACTGCTCTTTATGTTGCTACAGAAGGGGTATCATTTTTATTATCATTGGTTTCAAAGTTAACAATTTCTCCGCTCTGCTTAAAGTGAGACATATGTTTTCATTCTTTTTAAAGGATGTTTATATTTTTCTTCCTGATTATAGTCAATATTGCAAATGAAGAAAAGCATAAAGGAATAAAAGTTTAAGTAGTGGCTCATGCCTGTAACCTTTGCAATTTGGATGGTCAAGGTGGGAGGATTCCTTGAGCCCAGGAGTTTAAGACCAGCCTGGGTAACATAATGAGACCCTCATTTCTACAAATTAATCAATAAAATTAAAAATCTGTAGTAGTAATCACATACTTTGGTAGTAGAAACATAAATACTTCTTGAAGCATTTTGGTCATATATACAGCAAGCTTCTTTAAAAAGTTACATGCTCTACCAAGGAAACGCTATTAAAAAAAAAGAAGTTGTATGCTTTACCCAAAAGTTCCACTTATAGGAATTATTGTTGAAGGAAAAAAAAAGTCAGAAATTAAGACAAAAGTTTATGTCTGAGGCTATTAAATATAATAAAATCTACAGTAGCCAAATGTAAATAATTGAAATAGCCAAAATTAAGAAAGTTTTAAAAAATAATTATATATTCATACAATGAAATAGATTGTGTCCATTGAAACACATATATTGGGTTATGAGGAAATGTTTAATGGTAGAAAAAACAGATACTGTACCTAAATCATACAAAACAGGGTTTAATGTATGGATCTAATGATGTTAAAATGATAAATAATTGCCGTTCATTAAAAACATGATTCCTAAAGGCTGCATGGGAATCTCTTTTATGATTGAACCATGTATTGTTTGTCTATCCCCCGCCTGTTGTATGTGTATGCTGGTTCAGATTTTTCTATATTATAAATATATCTGTAATGAACACATTTACATATGAATCTATAAGGCATATCTCTTTCTAGAATCTCTTAGAATAGATGGCTTGAGTTGGCCAAAACAGATTTTAAAGATTTTTTGCCTTTTTCTGACCACAATACGTTCTTAAGAACGTGCAGTTGGAATATTTCTTCATTTATGCTGTCTCCGTTTTCTTCCACCAAATCCCAACATCTGCAGGTCTTTATTCTTTGCACTACTTGCCTCTTCCCCATGTGCCCACATGTGTGCGTGGTTGCCCATGTGCGCGTGCACGCACACACACACACACACACACAGGCACCTCACCCTTTCTCAGGGTGAGTACTCTTCCTGCATGCCCACTCACCACTCCCAATGATTCAGCAGGCATTGTAGCGCAGGCTCTAATCAATATCCCCCACTTACTTCTTAGTATTCCCCTCTGAAAATCACAGCCCACTGAAGAAAGGCGGTTAATAGTTCTCCATTCTTTCTATTATGGTTGAATCTCCATCTGGAAGAAAGGAAAAAGAAAGCAGAAGCTGTCTGGTCTTCCTGAGGAATAATAACAATCTCTCTTTGGAAGAATTAGTTTTCTGATTGGCTCAGAGGTGGTGTTTCTCATCAGTTGCTGGGCAGAAACCACTGAGGAAGGTTGAAATGAAAACTGAAAGTATGCTGAATTGTACACATTGAAGAAAAATTCCAGCCCTACCTCCCTTAGTATTTCTGTTTCTGTGTTTATCTATTTGAATCATTCTTGCATGTACATGTATATAAGTATTTCTATGTATTTACTTAAGTCTTTTATCATAATAGAAATATCAGCAGAACAAAATGAGAAAAGATTATAATGTGGTGAAGACAGAAAGATGTGCACTAATTAAAATGCTACTGTGGCAGTTTGTTAACATTTGCTTGCATGAATATGGGACATGAAGGAGGAGGAGATTTTACTACAGAGTCAAATAAATGTATACATGGAAAGAAAGCCAGACACAGTGCACATTTTTAAGCACCTTCAGCATCCAGGCTTAGGATCTGTTATCAAATAATATAATTTTTCTGGTTTCCAGAGGCAGTGCTGCTTGTCATGTTTTACCTTTTCCAGCAAATTTTTAGCGTGGGTGTTTCTGAGCATCTTCATTCACCCTCAGCTCCTGGTTTGTGCTATATTGTATTTTCCTGTGTATTTATTTCTCGTGCTGCCAGTGGAGTACATATTATCTGAAGCTGGACTCTAGATAGACTGCGAATACCATCTCTGTAAGAGGTCTGTGGGACAAACTGGTTCTTCCTGTGGCCTAGGACCTCAAAACACACTTTTGGGATTTGCAAGTCAGTGATCAAAACTCCTAAGATTAAGATGTGACTGGGGTTGGTGAAATTTGATTATATTGTAACAGTTTGAATTTAGGCTGTGCAGTATCTGGTTGAGATGGCTGGTCGCCTCTGCATCATGCAGTCCCCCTTTCTTCTTGGTGATAAGGCCTAATTTTCTTGGGTACTGCAATAGGCTCTGCTGTCTCATAGATACCAGAAAGCAAGGGACTAAGTTGGAATCAATAGTTTGTAGGTGAAAGTTGTAGGCTTGTGCTTCTCCCAGAGAATGCTTAGTCTGGAGGCCTCCAATTCCCTCCTGATTCAATTCAAACTTTGCAGTTAATATGCCAATAATGGCTACACAGTGGCCTTGCATCACAACGTTGCACTCCCTGTGGCCAGGGCTCCCTTTCCCATGCCATGCCTTTCACTTGAATTGTTTGCTTCATCTCTGCCCCTTAAAATTCTCCCCAGCCTTCGTGCCTACTTCCTCCAAGAACAACTCTGAATGTTTCTGCTTAAAGTGTTCTCAGCCTCTTGTGACACCCAAATCTTTTGCTGTTCCCATGTCCTGTCTTATATTATTGTTATTCAGGTATCCACTGTGCCTTTGCTGTGGCTACAATACCTGCTTCTCTGGACAGATTTCTGCAGGATGTGATTCTTCTCTCCTTATAGGACTCAGCCTTAGCTCTGCACTCAGCTGATATTCAATGCATGAGTGACATGCTCAAGGTAAATCATTCCCACCATAGTATGGCCCGGTTCCTGGAATCATTCGGCACCAGAGTGTGAGAGAGAGATGGCAGCAGGATTAAGCCACTCTAGGTTAGAAGTTCAAGGACCAGGAAGGAGGACCCAGTAGGATTCTTCTGTAGAGAAAGCTCTTTGATGAGAATAAGCTAAAGCAAGTCCTGAGAAGTGCTTTTTCTTTTGGACTAACCCTTAAACTGTCTCTTTCTGAAACAGCAGCCTCACTTATCACTTGGTGCTTCTGGAGTATAATTAAAATTAGATTCTAGGTTGAGTGGCTAATGAGGATAAAATCATAGTAAGTATTGGATCATTCCAGCCAAGCCTGGGCAGTTCTTTGGAACAAACAGAAGAGGTGGCTGTAAGGATACAAGAACTTGGCCAGTCAGGATAAGATCTGGCTTCAGATTTTTTATCTGAAGAAATAATGTCCAGGTCTTCTGACACAGCTTGTGCCAAAAGTATCCAGCAGAGCCAGGTTTCACCCTCTGCCTAAGTTGACTTGAGCCAAAGGGAAACATGTGTGTTCTAGGCAAGAAGAGGGTTGATTGCTCATCAGGTAGCTTAGCAAGAAACCAGCTGATATGGTTTGGCTGTGTCACCAGCCAAATCTCATCTTGAATTGTAGTTCCGATAATCCCCACGTGTTGTAGGAGGGACCTGGTGGGACGTAATTGAATCATGGGGGCAGTTACCTCCATGCTATTCTCATAATAGTGAGATCTTAAGACATCCAATGGTTTTATAAGGGACTTTCCCCCCTTTTGCTCAGCACTTCTTCTTCCTGCCATCACGCGAAGAAGGACGTGTTTGCTTCCACTTCTGCCATGATTATAAGTTTCCTGAGGCCTCGCCAGCCATGGTACTGTGAGTCAATTACACCTCTTTCCTTTACAAATTACCCAGTCCTTCATAATAGCATGAGAATGGACTAATACGGTATATTGGTACCAGTAGAGTGGGGTGCTGCTATAAGGATACCTGAAAATGTGGAAGCAACCTTGGAAACAGGCAACAGGCAGAGGTTGGAACAGTTTGGAGGGCTCAGAGGAAGATAGGAAAATGTGAGAAAGTTTGGACCTTCCTGGAGACTTGTTGAACGGCTTTAACCAACATGCTGATAGTGGTATGGACAATGAAGTCTAGGCTGAGATAGTCTCAGATAGAGATGAGAACTTGTTGGGAACTGGAGTAAAGGTCACCCTTGCTATGCAAAAAGACTGGCGACATTTTGTCCCTGCCCTAGAGACCTGTGAAACTTTGAACTTCAGAGTGATGATTTAAAGTATCTGACGGAAGGAATTTTTAAGTGGCAAATATTGTTAATATCCTCTCAAATATCTAAATGCTTAGCCTGGAAGCCTCTAATTCCCTTTCATTTCAGTTCAAAACTTTGCAAGTAATACACTAACAATGGCTTCACAGTGGTGGAGGAAGCAGAGCATAAAAGTTTGAAAAATTTGCGGCCGGATGATTAGATAACAAAGAAAAATCCATTTTCTGAGGAGAAAGGCAAGCTGGCTGCATAAATAATAAGGAACCAAATATTAATCACCAAGACTATAGGGAAAATGCCCCCAGAGAATGTCAGAGGTTTTCCTGCTAGACCCTTCCATCACAGATCCAGAGGCCTGGGAGAAAAAAATGGTTTCCTAGGCTGGGCCCAGGGCCCCCCTAGGCTGTATGCAGCCTAGGGATTTTGTGCCCTGCCTTCCAGCGGATTCGGCTTTGGCTGTGGCTAAGAGAGGCCAACATACAGCTCAGACTATTGCTTCTGAGAATGCAATCCTTGGTGACTTTCACGTAGTGTTGGGGCTACAGGTGCACAGAAGTGAAGAATTGAGGTTTGAGCACCTCTGCTTAGATTACAGAGGATGTATGGAAACTCCTGACTGTCTTGGCAGAATTTTGCTGCAGGGGCAGAATCCTCATGGAGAACCTCTGTGAGGGCAGTTTGGAACAGAAATGTGGGGGTGGAGCCCCTACACAGAGGCCTCACTGGGGCACTGCCTAGTGGAGATATGAGAAGAGGGCCATCATCCTCCAGACTCCAGGATGGGGATCCACTGACAGCTTGTACTTTGCACCTGGAAAAGCAGCACTCAATGCCAGCCTGTGAAAGCAGCCAGGAAGGGGGCTATATCCTGCAAAGCCACAGGGGTGGAGTTGCCCAAGGCCATGGGAGCCTACTTCTTGCATCGGTGTGACCTGGATGTGAGACATTGGGTCAAAAGAGATTATCTTGGTCCTTTAAAGTTTAATGACTGTCCTATTGGATTTTGAACTTGTATAGAGCCTGTAGCCCTTTTGTTTTGGCCAGTTTCTCCCATTTGGAATGGGTGTATTTATCCAATGCCTGTACTCCCATTGTATCTAGGAAGTTACTAACTTGCTTTTGAATTTTCAGGTTCATATGGGAAAGGGACTTACCTTGCCTCAGATGAGACTTTGGACTTAGACTTTGGGTTAATGCTAGAGTGAATTAAGATTTTGGGGGACTATTGGAAAGGCATGATTGTGTCTTGAAATGTGAGGATATAAGACATGGGAGAGACCGAGGAAGAATGATATGGTTTGGCTGTATCCCCACCCAAATCTCATCTTGAATTGTAGTTCCCATAATTCCCACATGTCATGGGAGGGACCCAGTGAGAGGTGTCATTAGGTGGGAATCTTGGGGGTGGTTACCTCCTTGTTCTTCTTTTGATAGTGAGTTCTCACAATATCTGATGATATTATAAGGGGCTTTTCCCTCTTTTGCTCAGCACTCACCCTTCCTGCCATCATGTGAAGAAGGACATGTTTGCTTCCCCTTTCACCATTATTGTAAGTTTCCTAAGGCCTCCCCAGCCAGGAAGAACTGTGAGTCAATTGAATCTCTTTTCCTTATAAATTACTCAGTCTCAGGCAGTCATTCATAGCAGCGTGAAAACAGACTAATACACCAGGTTGTACTAAAGTGGGTCACATTAGATAGTGACAACCTAACACAATCATTCCCTGTCATGGGAGGGATAAGCACAAAGGAAGTGTTGCTTCAGCAAGGTTCTCTGTGGATCTGGTGTACATGGCAGTCGTGGTAGAACCAGGACCCAGACTGAACACTGATCCCTTCTTGATTTGCAAATGAATTTCAATTTTTGATGGCAATTTGGGCAAGTCTCTTCCTTTGAGTCACCTCTAGCTATGGAACCTTCCAGGGGAGTCCCAGACTTTTTGGTGAAGAGAAAAACCATTCCTACTGTGCCCCTTTCAAATTCCAGATTCTTGCATTACTAAATCAATGAGGATAGTACCATGATTGTGTAAGTTGGTAATTTTCCAGATTAAAACAATATTAGCCAATACATATACCTTATCTCAAGAGAACAAATTTCCCAGAACTTACTAGAATGATACTGGGACCCTAAGGGAAAAAAAGATGAGAAAATTGCCCAAAGTCCTTCCATCTTGAAGCTTCCTCTCTGCACATGTGCTTTGGTCTTCTGTTTCCACAGTTCACCTTCTTTTCCTCTTTTGGACCATAATGTGAGTGGAAGAGTTCTTCCCACAACTCCCATGCACTCCTGCTACAGGTACAGCTAGTCACATGTCACTTGAAGGTTCCCTGGCCTAGCCTGGGTCGGGTGTCCATCCCAGACCCAGTCCATGTGGTGAGGCTGCAGGGCCATGCTATACGGACATGTATTGGAAGACAGGAGGTCACTAATGCTAAATGAATGTGGTGCAAGGAGGGCAGAGGGACCTTGAAAGGCATTCACTATATTCTCAGAGGCGGAGCCCTTAGAACAGATGCTGTTGATGCCCCGTCCCATATTCTCTTGACCTATTACAATTTGCCAATAGTGGATGAACACAGCTTCCTTCAAGGGTTACAACATCTTACCTCAGTTATTTGTGTCTCTCCTCCTCTGCTTTCTCTAACACCAGTCGTATTTGCTTTTTCTTGCAGATACACAACCCAACCTTGAAGTATAGCAAAACTAACATTCCCAGGGGCAGCTTTCAACCAGTTTAAGCAAAGGAGGATGTGAGATGTTGATAAATGTGCCAGGGTCCCCAGTCCTTAGGAAGATTCTGACATATATTCCACAATTTCACATAATTTATTAGTGTCCTGGGTGCGATAAGCTGAGTTGTCCATATGGTGACTGAAAACCTAATGAACTCTTTAAGCCATTTCTCACACAATTGGCTTATCTCCTTCTCTGATTCTCTCTTTCTGCACTTGTGTTTCCTGGGATGATTTCCCAAATAAGTGGTAGCTTCAATAGTTCTCCTCCCTCCATACACACCTAGTGATATTTATTGTGAAACATGTGACAATGATATATAACATGGCAAAATGGACCTTATAGAACTAATGTTATTGACTTTTACATTTAGTGATTATTCTAAATTATCTGGGTGGACTTAATCGAATCACAGGAGTTCTCAAAAGTAGAAGGCAGAAGAATCAGAGAGATGCAATGGAAAAAGAACCAGACAAACTTCAAAGATTGACAGGTCCTCAATGCACAGTTGCTGCTTTGAAGATTGAAGAAGGGAGCTGTGAGCTGAAAAATAGCAGCCTCTAGAGATGGGAACAGTCTTCAGCTGTAAACCAGTAAGCAACTGGGACCTCCATCTTGTAATTGCAAGGAATTGAATTCTGCCAACAATCTGAATAAACAAGAAAACATATTGTTCTCTACAGCCTCCAGAAAAGAATCCAGCATGCAGACACATTGATCTTAGCCTGGTGAGATCCCTGTTGAACTTCTGACCTATAGAACTGTGAACCAAAAATTTGTGTTGCTTTAAGTCTCTGAATTTGTGGTAATTCATCATAGCAGCTGTAGAAAACACATACAATAAAGGTTTTATGAAAACGCTGCAGTGAAGTAAACTGAAACTGTGGGGAGTACAGCGGGTGTGTGGACTACTCTACTGTCCTGAGTAGACACCACAGTCTAGAAAAAGCCAAGTTGAAGAGTAAGCATTATTAACAAATTAACTGAACAACTAGAACTTGACAAGCACATGCTAAGTAGAGGGGATACCGTGGTGAGCAATAATCGTGGTGATAATAAGCAGCAGTTTTCCCTAGCAGGCAGCAGTTGAAAGGAATATTGGTTTAACATCTACCAATGAGCAGGGGTGGACAGACCCCTTTCCTGGAGAAAGAGTCCATAATAGGATTAAAAATATCCCTGTAAGCCAGGCACCCAGTGGCTCACACCTGTAATCCCAGCACTTTGGGAGGCCAAGGCAGGTGGATCACAAAGTCAAGCGATGGAGACCATCCTGGCAAAAATAGTGAACCCTCATCCCTACTAAAAGTACAAAAATTAGCCGGCCATGGTGGCGTGCACCTGTAGTCCCAATCACTCAGGAGGCTGAAAGCAGGAGAAGTGCTTGAACCCGGGGGGCGGAGGTAGCAGCGAGCGGAGATCGCACCACTGCACTCCAGCCTGGCAACAGAGCATGACTCTATCTAAAAAAAAAAAAAAAATGACACACACACAAAATCCCTATAGTTCTTCTAGCGCCCTTCATCCAAATTTCCTATATCACAGAGAATCTTCAGGGTATTTCCTCTGCCTGGAAACCTTGACTGTAGGAAGGCTGGCTCTGGCTGCGTGACCACTTATCACATTTGTTGGGTGGGCACACCTCTGTTCCCCATGATTTATCAAGTGTGGCCTCTAGTGTCTTTTCAAATCATGTGTCATGTGGGTACGGTGAGGTTATTCTCTCAACCAAGACATTCTGCAGAGCTAATCCAAGGAGTGCTGGGTGTAGGGCTCTGACAATCACTTGGGAAGGAGTCAACAGGGGTGTCAACTCCACAACCACCCACAATGATCCTTACCCTGGAGCCGTCCTGGGAAAAGAACCTCAGGGCTACAGGTGGGTTCTTCCTATCGGGGAAGAATCAGGGTGGAAAAGAATGGGCAAATGACCAGGGACTGAAGCTGACCATCTCCCAACTGCACAAATTACCGTATGAGTTATGTAAGTTACTTAATGTTGCCCTGCCTCAGCTTCCATACTTGGAAAATGAGACTACCCGACAGGGTGTTGTGAGGCTTAAAGGAGTGACATCCACCAAAGCTCATAACACAGCACTCAGAACATTTTAAGTTCTCCATTAATGTTAGTTATTGCTGTTTAGATCCCAGCTCTATTGTTAACTAGTGAATTCTACTTTGTAAAGTTAATTCACTTTTCAGCACTCCAGTTTCCTTATCTGTATAAGGGGACAATAAGGTGGTACCAAACTCAAACAACTGGCATATGAATAATTGAATGAGTATCAGTAAAGTGCTTCAGTGCGTGCCTGTAGCTTTATGGTTGTGATTGGTTGCTGTGGAGGGGGAGGCCCTCAGCTCTGAGCTGGGCAGGGAGAAGCAGAGACAAGTTACTTCATTCAGCCTGAGGCTCCCCAGATTCGTTAGCTAAGCCTGGTGTCACTGGTGACTCCAGGGAATGATCAGGCACTAGGTCAGAATTGAGGAACTCTCTACTTCTGGCACTGGGTAAATTGTTAGACCAGTGGGCTCCAAGGTCAAAATTCTGAAAACAGGATATAGAGGCTCAGAGAAGGAGACGTCCAGGAAAGTATGAATATGCGATCCATTCACAGCATTGTAGAATGAGATATCTCCAGTCTCACAGTTCAGGAAGACCCCCACTTTCCTAGGGGGCTTATGAAGTTTCAGGTTGTTTCTGGGTTCAGTTAGAGTCTGACACTTATTCCCATCAGTCAGCCCCATAGTCCAGAATCCGTTCTCAGGTGTCATTTTGACCCAACCTTTTCTCTGCACATTCTTACTACACACCCCTATATGCCACTCTTTCCTGTCCCCTACCTCCACCTCCCAGTAATGTCTCCCTGACATGAAGCTCTCACAGCCGAGAACACAATAATGCCAATCAAATCTCTCAGGGTTGTCCGGTAGATCCTGGGGCTCCTTGGCACGCTGCACACTCCTCTGGTCCTCAGAAACAAGGAGGATGGGTTTAGTGTTTTTGTATCCAGAATCACATCCACTGCAGAGATTTTGAGGAAGTGTCCATGGGGTCAACCATTTTTCCTGGATTTCAGAGCCTCAGCATGCAAGACCTGGGCCATGCTGAGGAGGCCTAAGTCCAGAGCCTGGAGTCCCTAACCTGCCCTGAATGTGACTCTCTCATCGGTGTCAGAAGAGAAAACGCCAGGGATCTTGTGTCCAGAGGGGAAGAGGAGGGTGAAGTGAGGGTTGCATTAGGATCTGGCTAACCCAACACCCTGATGCTGCCTCAGGAAGCAGCAAGCATCCTCTTTCTATGTTTTTCTTGTTTCCCTCCCCACATTGACTCTGCCCACTAATGCTTTATGATCAGAGGTTAATTTTCAACCTTCATTCGATCACTCATGAGCTAAATGAGTTCCCCGTTACTGCAGTCTATTTTTCCATACATCTAATTTATTTAACAAAGTGGAGCCTCATCTGAAGCATTTCTTCATCTGAAAAATGGGGATAAACATACAAATCTCTAGCGCTGTATAAAGCAATCATGTTATTTACTCAGCCCACAGCAGGGCATGAAGGAAGCTCCTGATGTTCCCGATAGCTGCAAGGCCGTCTCTGTGCTGGGCTATATGTGGGACCTTATATGCAATAGATTCACTCTTTGCCCTTCAGCTTTCTCCATCCTTTTCCGGGCCCCAGAAATCTGTCCTCTAAGGACAGTGCCACTGGGCTTCCTTGTCCTCTGGTTTGCTGTTGGGTTTGGCCAGTGGGAGGCCCTGATAGGAGATTGGAAGGAGAAAGAAAGGAGAGACACACCATTTAGTTTCCTGTTTCCTCCCTGCCAGCAGCAGCTGGTGTGGCTCTAACAAGGCCTGGTGACTCTCTCAAGAAGCCCTCTCTTTGAGCTACTTCTTACTCTTGGTTCCAGTGACTGCCTCCCCTCCCTATCCCTCCCAGGCTAGGGGTGGAGACAGCTCCCCAATGTTGGGAACCATGGGGGCACTGCACTTTTCCTTGTTGCTTTCCCTTAACCCTCCTTTCCACAAACGCTCTTCAATCACACAGTTTGAACTCGTCGTCTCTTTCTTACTAGGTTTTTGACCAATCCATATTTATTATTCCTTCAGTCTTCACCTCAACTCCCACAAAACATAGATTGCAGTCATCATCGAAAAATGTGGAGGCCAAAGTTCAGAAGCATTTGTGTGGGGACACAGACAGGAGGTAACATGGGAAGCCTGGGAAGGGCAAAGTTCTTTGGGCAGGCATCCCCTCCTCTGTTTGGCATTTCCATCCTCACTCTCCTTGCAGTATCACTCAGTGTGTGTCTCCTTCCCCTCAGCTCCACCCTTTATGTGTCTTCCTTCCCAGGAAGGTCTGAGGAAGTGCAAGAGAGTGATATGCCCTGGTTCCCTGAGCTCTCAGCCGGAAGGGTCTAGGAGATGGGCCCCACCTTTCAGATTGGGATTTAATGTTGCTTGCCCCAAACTGTCCTGGTTATGGGGACATTTCTTCCCCAAATCACAGGAGTTGAGGAAGAAAAAAGGAAAAAGGAATATAGTCCCTCAGGTTGTTGGTCCAGGGAACATACAGTGATTTACTCACCTGGCTTGAAGAGAGCCTTTTTCTATTCTGAAAGGAAGAAGACACAGATAAGGAAAAGGTCAGTATTCTTGTACTTTTCCCCACTGCATTCTCCCCTCACTACCTGTTTTCTCTCCTTTTCTTCAGAGTCTCTTCCAGGGTCCAACTTCCCTCCTCTACAACTCTGATGGATCAGGGGTGGCATCTTCTCAAAAATGGTGGGCTCTGTTCCCTCTGTCATGAAGGGTACAGCCTGCATGGCCAGGCTTTGCAAGGGGGTGTGTAGGGTCAGGAGTCTCTCAGATTCTCTAAAAAGCAGAAATCAACCCCCCACCACACAGAAATTGAGTATTTTGGTTAAATCTGATTCATGCAACTGAGAATATCAATGGGTCACAGCAGAAAAAGGTTGAAGTGTTCATGGCACGTATCCCAGCAAACTCAGAGAGCATCAGGTTCACTCACCATTATAGGCCCAAGGTCTCTCTCCCCTACAATAAGAGAAAGTAGAGATGTTACCTTAACTTGCCACGTTTGAGTTTACCCCATTCCCTTACTTTTACATCCATCTACTCTTTTTTTTTTGACCACCTGTATCTTCTTCCTCTGCAGGTTCAATTCTCTCTACTGTGTCCTTCTTAATATCAAATCCAGGAACATCAGTCGAATGTTAGTGACATGGCAATCACTTTGAGAGTTCCTTCCTGATGGTGTTCAGCTGATTAGTTAGGAATGTATCTAAACTCTTGTACCTGGGCATAGGTGCCACCATGTCTATATGCATATATACATATGTGTGTGTGTGTGTGTGCGCGCGCACAAGATCCTTCTACTTCAATCTGTAATTTCCTACCTTACCCTGAAAAGAATTTGGGAAATTCAATGAGCAATTTCAGGGACTAGTTTTTGAAGCCAGTTAGAATAAATTGGTACCAACTGAACAACTGTTCAAACCACTCTTGTTTATCAGACACACTCTCTTTTCTTCTTTTTTTGTTCTTTATTATCTTTTATTCTTTTTCTTCTCTGGAGCCTATAGATTATGTAAAATGAAGAGTGAAGTTCCTACCATAGAGAATGAACTTCATCCACCTCTTCCGCCTTCCTTTACAAGTGTGCCCCTGGATATTCTTCAGTGCTTTGCAGGGCTATGGAGTTTTGTGGCCCCTAGTAGAGAGAAATTGAAGGCATTTTTTCTTTGAGACTCGGCAAGAGAGAGAGAAAGAAAGGGAGAAAGAAACACTCCTCCTGGGTGTTACTCCAATGAGTCACACTCTTTGTCTTTTTTCTTTTCTTTCTTTTTTTTTTTTTTTTTTTTGGCAATGACTAGGAATTGGCACATTTATTTTCTTTCCTTAGTCAAAGGGATCTAAGACCACTTCCTAACCTTGGGGAAAAAGTTAAGTGTGGAAACTATTCAAGCACAGACAGTTATAGATTCAGATTCAGAGAAAATGTCAGAGTGACTTAACGAGACGCGTACTGGATAATTCTCCACCCTGCAATGGAAGGAACAGGGAAGATGCATCAAGGCTCTTAAAGCAGGGACAGAAAGACATGCCTGGGTCTCTGGGGGAACGGGAACTTACCGATTTCCTCCAGGAGCTTCACTGGAAAATAAGCAGGGAAAATAAGCAGATAAAATAATGAACTGTTACAGGTGAGGGAGTTCTCTAAAAAATAAACCTTAAAAACAACCCAGCTATGGTGTGGGGATAGGTGTGAGGCCTTTGGGCTTTGGCCTATAAGCTGGAGGTTCAGATAAACTCCCAGGGTCAGCTACCTCTTGTGATTTGTTCTTGCTTTATTGCGCTCCATGCCATTTCTCTCAACTCTTGCGCTCTTTTTCTTTCTGAACAGAGTCTTTTTTCCTCCTGCTGTTGCCACAGGAAGTAACGGGCTGCCCCGAGAAGCAGCAGCAAGATAGGCAGGGTCCCTGCCAGGGCAGCGATCCAGCTCTGGGCGCTCCTGAAGAAGGGGCCTGTGAAGGGAAGGGCTGTGGGCCATGGGGGCCTGTGCACTCAGCCTTCCCAGACTGCAGCACCCCAAGTATTGGCTGCTCACCCCAGGTCACAGGCCACAGAATCTATCTCACGGGGTTAAATAATCTTTCTCATTCTAAAATCTCAGAGGACTGTGGGTAAGACTTTGATAAACCCCCACTAGAGGCTGCTCCTATTACTTGTCTTGAGATGTCTGCCTCTCATGTGGAAAGTGAGTGACTTGAGCAGATCAGACACAGTTTTTTCTATTTCAACTTTTTGATAGGTAACACATGTACATGGTTCAAAAATATATATATAAAAAGTCATGCAAGTCTCCCATCCACCCAGTCCTTCCTCCCACCCTCCCTTTCTTAGCTTCAAATTAGTATGCTTAATATGATGCTTAGGGTGTCAATGCTGGCTCCTTTAGGTGACTAGCAGTGTGACTCTGGACTAATTATTTAACCACTCTGTTCCTACTGCCCTTCTCTTTGAAATTGGGGTAATGTTAATACCTACCTCCTGAAGTTACAAGGATTAAATTAATAAAGTGCCTGACACCTAGTGAGTGTTATGACATTGCTTGTTAACATAAAAAGTGTAAATAAAAATATATTCTTGTTTTTCCTCTTATTTGCACTGAAGATAGCATTCTATACACACCACTCCGCATTTTGCTCTTTCTGTGCAAAGGTAATCTTGGAGATCCTTCCGTATCAGTATAGAGATAATTTTCTCTTTTTTCTTTCACACTTGAGTGGTATCCATTGCATGAAAGTTCCCCAGCAGTGAACATCTGCATAGTTTCTAACCTTATGCAGTCATAATCAGTGCTATAAAAAATAACTTTTTACCTGGATCATCTCACACAAATGCAAGCTTATCTACCAAATAAATCCCCAGAAGTGGAATTTTGGATCACTAAAGATGTAATTTGGGTAGATAGTGCTATATAGCCCCCAATAAAAGTTATGCTAATGCACACCAAAAATAGTTACTAGTTAGTTGGACAAGTTCTTTAGCAGGAAAGAAGATACTGAAATGCTAGAAACTGAGCCAGTAGAGGATGGGAAGCTTGGGGAGAGAGGAAATGAGGAAAGATTTCTGAACAACAGTGGGGAGTTCCTCTGTAACAAGCAGCTGGAGTCCATAGGCATCCCGTGGTTTCACAGTCCAGTTGGGCCACCACTTAAGTCAATACAGCCCACATTAACACCTTCTGCTATGGAATCTTCCCCTCAAATTCCTCATAAAACATGCAGCAGCATTCTGAAACATCTGAACTAAAACACTCAGCAGACATTTATCTTTGTATTCTTCATGAAATGTGTTTTGTCTTTTTTTTTTTTTTTTTTACTAGTGTTTAAGTCATTTTTTACTTGAATCAGATGGTGTCATTTAATAAGGATTTTATGAGTTCTTGGTTTTTAAATTCCAGACTTTCCTTTTCTACATGTGAGATAGTTTTCATTTTAACTGGCATGTTATATGCACACAGAAACAAAGACTAGAGCAAAATAATGTAACGCAAGGGGAGAAAAGAAATGCACAAAGTAAAGAACATTCTCTCATAGAACAATGATCTGTTTTACAGGAAACAAATCTTGCCTTGAAATTTACACAGTGAGACTGTACATAACTGCATGAAAATAGCTATTTTTTTAAGACATTTTTCATTCATGAGTATTTTCAAATTTTTCACACTGTACACATTTCTTAAAACATGATACCAGCAGCAACTGAAAATGAACGCCAATTTTAGTACATATGCGTTATCTACCTCAAGGTAACAAAAGTATGTGGCAAAACATATACCACCCACAGTGCTTCAAAATATGCATTTCTATTTAACCAGCGTTTGTTGTAGGAAATATTCCTAATAAGACTCATTCACTGTTTATAAATGTTCTGGTATGCATTCTTTATAGTGAAGTGTTAATACATCACATCTTATTTATTTTAGCAAATCAGTATATTTTCTGCATTTAATTTTAAAACTTAACATAGTTTTAAAAATTTATTTGCAAATACACTTTTTCCATTTGGCACTATGGTGTGTTGCCTACCTAGCTGAATCTATAACGTCAGCTTATCCTAAGGCTGTCCATATACTTAATTCATGTAAGTGTTCATTTTAAATAATGTGCTCACTGTGTACAGGAATTCGTATTTTGGAGGTGCTTGATCTATCTACAAAGAAAAATTAGTTAGGAATTACTTTATTATGAAATGCTCCCAGAAGTCTTGTGTGAGTGTGTTGTTTTTTTTTTTTTTTTAAACGAATGTTAGACTTGTGTGCATGGAAGTAATTTAGGTACATCATTAATATAGTTTAAAAGTTGTACATGATAAGACACTTTGTTTTTACTGTATGTTTTTACTGAATGATCTATTCCCCATCCCAAGGCCAGCATGAATAAAATTAGGTTAAATGTAAATAATAATAATAATAATAATAATAATAATTGTATAGGCCTGGCATGGTGGCTCATGCCTGTAATCCCAGCACTTTGGGAGACTGAGGCAGGTGGATCACCTGAGGTCAGGAGTTCAAGACCAGCCTGGCCAACTTGGCAAAACCCGTCTCTATTAAAATACAAAAATTAGCTGGGCGTGGTGGCATGCACCTGTAATCCCAGCTACCCAGGAGGCTGAGACAGGAGAATCGCTGGAACCTGGGAAGTGGAGGCTGCAGTGAGCTGAGAATGCACCACTGCACTCCAGCCTGGGTGACAGAGCAAGACTCCATCTCAAAAAAAACAAAAAACAAAAATCAAAAAAACCTGTATATTCATACAACGAAATAGATTGTATCCATTGGATAATATTCGTTAGGTTTTGGGGAAATGATGAATAAAAGGAAAAACACATACTGTTCCTAAAAGACACAAAACAAGGTGTAATGTATGGATCTAATGTTGTTAAAATTATAAATAATTGCCCTTCATGAAAAACACGATTCCTAAAGGCTGCATGGAAATCTCTTTTATGACTGAAACATGCATTGTTTGTCTATCCCTCGCCTGTTGTATATGTATACTGGTTCAGACATTTCTATATTTTTAATATTTCTGAAATGAACAGATTTACATATGAATCTATAAGGGACATCTCTTTTTAGAAATTCTTAGAATAGATGCCTTGAGTTGGCCAGAAGAGATTTTAAAGATTTTTTGCCCTTTTCTGACCACAATACATTCTTAAGAACATGCAAGTAGAATATTTCTTGACCAAATCCCAAACTCTGCAGGTCTTTATTCTTTGTACTACTTCTCCACTTTCCGTGTGTCCACAAGTGTGTGTGCACACTCCCTCAGGCACACCCCTCAGACACCTGACACCTTTCTCTGCACAAGTACTCTCCCTGCATGCCCACTCACCACTCTCAGTGATTCAGCCCCTGTCCTCCCCGACATTGTAGCCCAGGCTCTCATCAACTTCTCCCACTTACCTCTTAGCATTCTCATCTGAAAATCACAGCCCACGGAAGAAAGGTGGTTAATAGTTCTCCATTCTTTCTATTATGGTTGAATCTCCATCTGGAAGAAAGGAAAAAGAAAGCAGAGGCTGTCTGGTCATCGTGAGGAATAATAACAATCTCTCTTTGGAAGAATTAGTTTTTTGATTGGCTTGGAGGGGTGTTTCTCATCAGTTGCTGGCCAGAAACCCCTGAGGAAGGCTAAAAGTACATTGAATTGTACACGTTGAAGAAAAATTCCTGCCTTACCTCCCTTAGTGTTTGTGTTTATTTCTTTCATCCTTGTGTGTATATGAGTATTTCTATATATTTACTTGTCTTAAATCTTTTATCATAATGGAAATATCAGCAGAACAAAATGAGAAAAGATTTTAATGTGGTGAAGAGAGAAAGATGTCCACTAATTAAAATGCTATTGTGGCAGTTTGCTACATTTGCTTGCATGAATATGGGTACATGCAGGAGGCGGAGATATTACTGCAGAGTCACATAAACATATGAATGGAAAGAAAACCAGACACAATACACTTTTTTTTTTTTTGAAACGGAGTTGCACTCTGTCACCCAGGTTGGAGTGCAGTGGCAGGAACTCGGCTTTATGAGCAGATTTATGAGCAGACATTTATTAAGGAAATTGGCTCATGTGAATATAGAGGCTAAGAAATCACACAACAGCCCATCTGTAGGCTGGAGACCCTGGGATGCTGGTAGCACGGCTCATTTGAAGTCTGAAAGCCTCAGAACCAGGGAAGCTGGTTGTGTAACTCTCAGTCCAAAGCCAAAGGCCTGAGAACCCAGGGCCTCCTGGTACAAGTCCTGAAGTTCAAAGGCTGGAGAGCCAGGAGTTCTGATGTCCAAGGGCAGAAGAAGAAGAGTGTCTCAGCTCCAGAGGAGAGAAGAATTTGCCTTTCCTCTGCCTTTTGGTTCTATTGGGCCCCCAGCCAATTGGAGGGGAGAATTACCCACTGACTCACATGCCAGTCTCTTCTGGAACACACTCACAGACACATCCAGAAATAATGTTGTACCAGTTGTCTAGGTATTCCTTAATCCAGTCAAGTTGACATCTAAAATTAACCAGCACATGGATTAACTTCCAGGATCCACTATTCTAGTTTCCAAATGTGGTCTTGGGATTCATAGGGAGAACTTTGACGTACTCTTAAGGAGTCCCCAATGTTAGTACTATTTTCACAATAATAATAATGAAACATTAACCATTTTTCATCCCATTCTCTCAGTAGGGTGCAGTAAAGTTTTTTTTTTTTGAGAAAATATGACCTATGATAAACCAATAGGTTTAATACAAAGGCAGATATGAGAATACAAACATCTTCTATTAAGCCAGACATTAGATTTGGAAAAAGTTAACCAGGAATAAAAGAACTCCTAGTTCTTTTATTTGGACACAATAGATTGCTTTTTCACAAAACATCCTGTTTATATTAAACTATAATTGATTTATTCATGCTATTTTAACATGAATTAAAAGATAACATTTCAAATTTTGTTTCAATGTCAAATGCCATAACTATTAACAAATATTAACCCAAATAAACAAAAGTTCTTTAAAGTCCTCAATAGTTATTAAGTGTCTAAAGACATAATTAGATCAGGAAGTTTGAAGCCACTGGTGTCCCCATTGAACCTGAATGCTGACGTAGACCAGTTGCAGTACTGCCCTGCTCGACCAGGACCTCAAACCTCAACCACACTCAGGGACTAAGTACTGACTCATTGTTTATTGCAGGGACACGTAAGCCAAACCACATCCACACGAGTCCATGTTCTTCATTCATCTTCATCCCAGGTCCAGGCCTGTGAGTGTGTGTTGTGGAAATCCTGGGGTTGGGTGGAAATGAGCCATCATTTCCCAGGTCCCCTTAGCTGTTATGTTGGGGCTTATCCACCCTTACAACCTTGGTCCCTCCCAGCTGTCTGGTTGCACTTCCTCTATCTCCGACCTGCATATCTGGTTCCCTCTCCTCTCTGGTGGTCCTGTGGATTCCTCTCTCCTTTCTCATCCTGATGAACCCTGTTGACCTCATTCCATGTCCATAACATCTGGTGCCAACTGGCATACTGGACTCAATGTGGTCACCCTGATGTTAAATAGCAGGTTTGCTGCCCATCAACTTCGCACACTTTCTTCTTGGCTGGGAGCTATGACACAACTAGTTTCCTATGCGTGGATCCCATCCAATAGAACTACTAAACCAAAGGAACTACTAAAGCCACAGCCTAGTGAGGAGGAGAAAACTGGGGCTAAGGGCTGGAGTGGGTGTGAAAGAGGCAGGTGGAAGCTGTTCTCTTACGTGACCAGAGGGGAGAAGGGTGTGTCTTCCACCAACAACATTGTGCAGTGGCTGCTGAGATGACGAGGGCTTGTCTACATGGCTGTGAGACTGGTGAATTGATTCTACAGGCTCTGATTGGTCCCCACTCTGTGAAGTATCAGGCCCTCTTCAGGCACTGTGATCCCACTGGCTCCTGTGAGTGCCGGACAGATGAAGATGGGGCTGTCATCAGACCCTATCCTGAAGAAGGGCCTCACAGGCACAGAAAAGTCTAAACGAGGACATGTGTAGATGTGCGATCTGTCCCTCATGTTGTAGAAGGAGACATCTCCAGCTTCACAGTCCAGGAAGACGCCCACACGGCAAAGGGACTCCTTCAAAGGGAGAATCCTCTTAGGTGAGGACAGGGCCCGGTATTGCCCTTTACACATCTCCAAGGTCCAGAAGCCATTCCGAGGACGCAGCAGGACCTCCTCTTTCCTCTCAACACTGTCTCTGCAGACCCCCACAGTCCACTCAATCACGTTTTCCACCTCCACCTCCCAGTAATATTTCCCTGAAGCGAAGCTCTCCCGGCCCAGGACACAAGGCTCACTGTCGAATCTCTCTGGGTTGTCAGGCAACCTCTTCCTTAGGTGCCTGAGGGGGCACCTTCGCACACTTCTCCGGTCCTCTGACAGCAAGAGATCAGGATGAGCGGTGTCTGGATCCAGGACCACATCAACTGCAGAGGAAGTCTCAGGTTTAGGCCTGGGGTCTCAGGAACCTGGGGGATTGTGTGGTTCCTGATCCCCCGAGAGGTCTCAGATGTCTGTGGGGGGATCCCCAGGTAGTGGCCACTTCCATGAAGGCTCTCTGATCCTAGGCAGCTCACACACTGAGAATTACTGAAAATCCAACCCCAGGATTCCCTTCTATCTCTCCAGCAGTTCCCTCAGTTTGAGAAGAATTGGAGCTCTAAGAAATTCGGAAAGCTTAGCATATGAGGCAAAATTAATCATTCTTTCTCTCAGCGTTCTAAATCTGTGTTCCCTTCTCTATTCAAGACATAGGATCTCTGGCTGGGCACGGTGACTCACGCCTGTAATCCCAGAACTTTGGGAGGCCGAGGTGGGTGGATCACCTGAGGTCAGGAGTTCGAGACCAGCCTGGACAGCATGGTGAAACCCCATCTCTACCAAAAATACAAAAGTTAGCCAGGTATGGTGGTGCACGCCTGTAATCCCAGCTACTCAGGAGGCTGAGGCACGAGAATTGCTTGAACCCGGGAGGCAGAGGTTGCAGTGAGTCCAGATTGTGCCTCGGCACTCCAGCCTGGGTGACAGAGCGAGATATCATCTCAAAACAAACGAACAAACAAAAAAACAAAAACAAATTCAAAACAAAGACCTATGATCTCTGGATTTTCTTTAGTTAGAAACTTTCCAACTTGGCTCAAACCGGCACAGAGTCTTTATGTCCTGCTCCTCCTCTCCCCAGTGGATCAGGTAAGGTGAGTGTTTCCCTTTACACTATCCCGGAGGGTAAAGAGTCTCTTCATTGGTCCTGTGTGTTCCTTTTACCAGATCACAACTGACTTAAATGACTGACAAGGGCACCCTTCAAAAAATAAAGAAGGAGAATAAATGTCCCCAAAAGAAAACCTGCTTCCTGAGGGATCTGTAGGCAAATGTGGGGAGGAACAATTCCCATTCAGTTTTGCTTCAACAGTGTGGGTCTGATGTCTTCAGGTATCACTTCTGTAGGTATAAGAAATGCTCCGGACACTGGGCATTCTGCAGGCCTCTCCCATCTGTATTTATTCTTACTTATTCAGTCTACCTTTCTATTGTGTTAAAATGATTTCCTCCATTCCCCAAGTAAATATGTCTGACTGTGACGATTTGCTATTTTGTCCCAAGTGGAAAGTGGCAATTTTGAAATTCACCTGAAGAGGAAAGGTCCATGTGTCATGGTATCTGGTAAAGCTTGGATTCTGTGGTGCTTATGGGCAGAGGGGCAGAATCATAAGATGAAAAGTGCTCACTGGGAGTGGGCAATTGGGTTCTGTGCTCTCCCACTCACCGGAAGACCCTCCCCTGGCAGTCTATACACAAAGTATCAGTGCTCTCTTAGGAGCAGAAAGGCATTTCTTGTCACCTATTGGTACACCCTTTTGTCAGGCTTACTAGGGACCCTCCTGGCCTCTTCCCCGCATGGGTCTTCAACTTGGCACAGTCTATACCATCCCCAGGATATAAGCTGCTTAAGACAGCACTGTCTTTTTTCAAATTTATCCAGGATCAAAGAGCAACAACTACTGAAACGTAACTCTTAGGAAGGCTACTATATATGGGACACTTCTGGTAATCATGTATTAAATTATTCCAAAAGAGAAAGGATCCTGGGATGTAAACCATAGGGTGGATTGAGAGCTGCCGGGATTCCCTGACGGAAGAGCCATGATGCATCATTGCTGGGACACTGTTGATGAACTGACCCCAGTTCCCTGCTGTCCCTGCCTAGCCCTGGGCCCCTTGCTCATCTCCTCTAAGGAGTCCTGTTAGCTGGCTAGCAGGAGAAAGCTGAGATCTAAGGGAACATCAGAGACACTCACCGGCATGTAAGACTGTTCTTCTCCATCCTGCAAGGGACAGACAGAGGCAAATGTCATGAGATGTTGCTAACTGAGCAGAACTCAAATTGTATATGGAGTAGTTCAGGAAAGGCTAAACTTACGCAATTCTTCCTGAAGTTGCTCTGAAAAACAAACAGAAAGAAAATCATGTCTTTGACAGAAGAACTAAAAGAAGTTGGGTTTATAGTAAAAATGCAGGAACCGTCCTTTCTACGAACAGCAACATTTCCCTTGCCTCATGCCTAGGGCACTGTCAGAAACCAGAAATGATATGTGATCAGGTGGTGGGTAGTGCTGGTACATTGTTATACTTGCTTTTGCTCAACCATCTAGTACTTCATGTAGCCAGATGAATGGATGCAAGATGGGCAGAGTGAAAGAACAAAAGCTCTGAGAGATTCATTCCAAGGACGTCAGAGTTCCAAGTCCTTGCTGCTGCTGCTGTGCATTTCCTCTCTCTTCCATATGCTGGTACCTGGGAGAGTTGTGTCTTTTCTATGGTGCTGAACTGTCCTCCTACTCTTTTACTTTTTTTTTTTTAATTAAACGGGGTCTCACTTTATTGCCCAGGCTGGTCTCGAAATCCAGGGCTCAGGTGATCTGCCTGCCTCAGCCTCCTACAGTGCTGGGATTCAAGCCATGAGCCACCATACTCAGGCTCTTTTACCTTTTACTTGAAGTTCTTTCTCTTTTTGCACACGTTCCTTCTCCAGTTCCTTTACAGCAATTTCTCTTGTTTTCCGTTCAGACTCCTTTTCCCCTGACAGAATCTTTTTTTCCTTTTGGAGTCTGTTGATCCAGTAGATGCATACGGCAATGATTATCATCAGAAAAACCACAATGATAGGCAGGGCCACCACACAGGGAGACATGCTGGGCATAAAGGATTCTGAAAAGGCAGCCAGAAATGTCCACTTAGTTTGAAACAGAACATCTGGGGTAAGAGTGCCCTTAGGAGCACAGCTGAAGGGCTCCTCAGCCACCTGCTCTGTTGCTTTCTCCCTCAGAAAACTCAGATGGAGAAAGTGATGCTGGCTCAGACCTGGCTGACACCTCAGTGGCTTCCAGGGCCAAGGCCCAGAGGTAGCAAACCAGTCACCATGGGAAGGGCCAGGGTGAATAAAGTTAACCCGTCATGCTGAGTCAGCACAGCCACCATCCTGCCTCAAGCTACCATCACTCACGCCTGGAACACTGCAGTGCCCTCCTTCTTATTCTGCCCTCACCTTCTACAGTCTATTCTCAACAGACCAGTCCAAGTGTAATCATGTTAATTCTTAGCTCAAAACCTTCCAATGCTTTCCATGTCATTCTCCCTAAAAATCAAAGACTGTTTGTGGCTTATGATGCCATGTAGAATGTGTTTTCATTGTCTCTGTGAATTCATCTCCTCTCACTTCCTGCACTCACTCCATTTCAGCCACAGCAGCATCGCCTTCTGGGGGTCCTGGAAACTGCCAGAGATGTTCCTTCCCCAGGTCCTTTGCATATGCTTTTCCTGTAGCTGGTTGCTCAGTCCTTAAGCATCTGATGATTCCTTACCATCAGACGGGATGGCTCAATTCCCATCTCTACAGCGAAGTCTTCCCTGACCATTCTGTTAAGAATTGCAATGTCTCACACTGCCTCTTTATTGCTTCCTTGCTTAATGTTTCCTATAGATGTTCATCACCATCTGATAGAATATATGGTTAACTAATTATTTAATCACTTTTTGAGGGAAGAGTTCTTGATATAATTTGTTCAATTATTTACCTTTGGTTTCTAGAACAGTGTCTTGACATATGATAAGCTTCTTGACCATTTGTTGAATGAATTACGAGTATGTGTCAATAGGGAATTTCCGCGGCTCTATCCCATGGAAAATCCCCTGTGCAGGAAGGGATGGCTGCAGCATACAGGAACACCAAGTGTAGAGAGTCACTTATCCACACCACCCTCCATGTGTTATAGTTGTTTTCAAAGTCTAAAAATTGCTGGCCGGGTACGGTGGCTCACGCCTGTAATCCCAGCACTTTGGAAGGCTGAGAAAGGTGGATCGTTTGAGGTCAGAAGTTCGAGAGTAGCCTGGTCAACAAGGCGAAATCCCCATCTCTACTAAAAATACAAAAATTAGCTGGGTGTGGTGGCGTGTGCCTGTAGCCCTAGCCTTCGGGAGGCTGAGGTATGAGAATTGCTTGAACCTGGGAGGCGGAGGTTGTAGTGAGCCAAGATTGTGCCACTGCAGGCTAGCCTGTGTGACAGAGCGAGAACTGGTCTTAAAAAAAAAAAAAAATATTGCCGCAGCCTGAGGACCTTATCAGGGGGAAAAACAACAACAACAACAACAACAACAACAACGACAAACCAGGTTCACCCTCAGAGAAGAGGCTCCTACTCCTGAGTTTTGGGACTCTTTGATTCTCCTTTTGTGAGAAGCGGAGAGGCCTCAGCTCAGCTGCAGCCTCCAGGTCGTCAGGGCCCAGGACCATTCCACCCACACTGCTGCCCCCATCCCTGCTCTGGGTTCCATCTGTGTGCTGAGGATCCCCATGCACTCGACGAGTCTCAGAGGGCAGAGAACTAACCTGGAATAAAAATGACACTTTCTTTCTTCTGGCCGAGCAGGGTGTCATTGATAGAGCAGGACATGTTCCTCATCGACTTATCTCTGATGATCACAGCTGTGGTGACCATGAAAAGGCCGTCTGTGTCAGGGGTGGCGACCTCCTTCAGGGCAGGCACAACCCTACCATAGGGGTCCCTCCACACTGTGAGGGGCTTTGGGTACCACCCTCTAGATATGCACTCCAGCCGGATGCCCCCGTCCTCGTGGCCCCTCATTTCAACGAGGGGCTTAGAGCCCAGTCCTGTGGAGAGATACCAGAGTTCAGACAAGAATCAGTGCCTTTTGCGTCTCTTCTGTGCCTACTGCATCTCTTCTGTGAAACTAGAAAGTAAAGGTGAAAAAGAGGGAGGTAGGAAGCAAGAAATAGGAAGGAGGAAAAAAAGGAGGAGGGTAAGGAAGAAAGAACATTGATGTTAGAGAACACCAGGAGACCAATGGGCCACATAAACTAAGAGCAAACGATCCCATTGTACCCTTTTCTTTGTGGTCCACGTACAGACCCCATCACAGCACCAAACATCTATCTGTCTGCTATAAATGCTTGTTCAATTTATCCTGCCAGACTAATTTTCTCACTTCAAGGTGGGTGTGTCGACTCCAACTTCAAACAGGCAGGTTTTGGATTTCACTTTCTGCTTCTGGGATGACTTCTCAGTAGACCTCAGCTTCCAGAAGCTCTAGAGTAATAATGACAAGGACGAAAGTCTGCCAGGCGGGCAGAATCCTAAGAAACCTTTTGATCCAAAGACGCTGACCCTTCTGTCTAGTTCAGAACTTCACATAACTACCACTCTCTACCACCCATAGTAGGCGATGGTTTTTGGGAAACTTGACAGATCTAGCCTGCAAAGCCAACTCTAATCCTAATTCACACTATTTACCTCCCAGAGGCTCCATCCATTAGGCAGTATTGCTTTTGTTTTTTAGAGACAGGGTTTGAGCTCTGTTGTCCAGCTTGGAGCACAGTGGCAAAATCATAGCTCGCTGTGCCTTGTACTCCTGGGCTCAAGAGATCCTCCCGCTTCAGTCTCTCAACTAGCTAGGATTACAGGCATGTTCCACCATTCTTGGCTAACATGTTGCCCAGGCTGGGTGGTTTTCTTATAGTACTTTGAGAACATCAACTTATTAGAAAGATCCGGATAATCCAGGGACTAAGATAACCATACTACCTTTCCAATATCAGAGGTCATCACCAAAAATTTTAAGAAACTAGACTCACCCTAACTACAATCCATCTTTAAATGAATCTTCCATAAGAGTGAACACTGGGTATGAAAGAGCTGCAAAAGCGTAGTCCTGGGAGACCTTTCAGCCATATGAGACCACCTAAACTTCTCTGAGTAATTCCTTTGTAAAGTCTCCCAAAGAATTTTACCAAAGACAGGAAATTAAACCAAAAACTTAAGTCTGGTGTGTTGGCTCAATTTAATAATAAAAAAATTTTTTTTTGACACGGTCTCACTGTATCACCTGAGCTGGATTGCAGAGGCATGATCATAGCTTACTGCATCCTGGACTTCTGAGGCTCAGGTGATCCTCCAACCTCAGTCTCCCAAGTAGTTGAGACTACAGGCATGTGCCACCATGCCCAGCTATTTCTTTTTTTTTTTTTTTTGCATCTTTTTGTAGAGACTAGATTTCACCATGTTGCCCAGGCTTATTGTAATTTTTTTTTTTTTTTTTTAAGACAAAATCTTGCTCTGTAGCACAGGTTAGAGTGAAATAAATGGTAGGATCTCGGCTGACTGCAACCTAGGCCACCTGAGTTCCAGTGATTCTCTGGCTCAGCCTCCCAAGTAGCTGGGACTACAGGCATATGCCAGCATGCTTGTATAATTTTTGCGGTTGTAGTTGAGAAGGGGTTTCACCATGTTGGTCAGGCTAATCTCGAGCTCCTGACCTCAGGTGAGCCACCCACCTTGGCCTCCCAAAGTGCTAGGGTTATAGGCATGAATTACCGCACCGGGCCCAGGGTCACTTTAATTTTTATCAAGAGAAAAAACTACTTGTACATTTAAAGGCTCAGTAGAATAAGAATTAAAATAACTCAGCAAATTGGAAAACAAAGTTCTTCAAAACATTTCATGAGTTCCAATACAGGCAAGCATGACAAAATAGATTTAAGGGCAAAATCAGCCACCAACAAACCTAACAAAGAGAATACCATAAACAAAAAGTCCTACGCAACCCAATTCAGAGTGGGGAAGGCCAGGCCAGTGTCAGTTTTACAGGCAAAGAATGGCAGATTCCTGCCGCACAGAAACCATAACTAGTCAAACCTAGAGCGCTGCTATGAACACATTGAGGATGCAGTGTCAAGAAACCCTCCTTCCATGATATTGTGTTTTAATCAGATGCAAGGTTGCCTTTGTGTGTAGCAAAGATGGGGTCTCTTACCTGTTATGATTTGAGACCCCCAGGGAAGGACCCAATTCCCTAGTCTGCACATCCTCTGGTCTGATGGAGTGAAATGCCACCACAGATTATCCTGCACCCGAAAGGCTTTTTCAGTCCTCAAACATATCTGTTTGTTGTTGTTGTTTAATTTTTGATACAGAGTCTTGCTCTGTTGCCCACGCTGGAGTGATGTGGTAAGATCTTGGCTCCCTGCAACCTCTGCCTCCTGGGTTCAAGCAATTCTCATGCCTTAGGCTGCCAAGAAGTTGAGATTACAGGCACACTCCACAAAGCCTGGCTAATGTTTTTGTATTTTTAGTAGAGATGGGGTTGCACCATGTTGGCCAGGCTGGTCTCGAGCTCCTGGCCTCAAGAAATCCACCTGCCTCTGCCTCCCAAAGTGCTCGTATTACAGGTGTGAACCACTGCGCCTGGCCCAGATATACCTTTTAAAGCATAATACACTAACCCCAAAACTGAAGTAATCACTTAATGTCATTTTAACAAACTCCTAGAAATCCCAGTTTAAATGCATTTTTATGTTGAAGGCTTCCCTATTACCTCCCAGTGAACTTTGTAGTCTTTCTCTATGGAGTTAGCAGGGACTATGTATAGTTTTGCTTCTACATTTTGTCTTGCTTTAATGAAACCATCTATTTACAATAAGTCACTCTCTCTGCAATCAGTATTTTGGGAAAGAAGAAGTCAGGGTTAATATTTATCAGGAAGTAAGATTTGATATGTCGCCGTTCTCTGGGCAAACATTTATTCCAGTTGTCTTGGAACAATTATTGACAGTGTCTCCTCTCACTCTCAGAAGTGCAACCTGGGAGGCAGAGGTTACAGTGAGATGAGATTGTGCCAGCGAGGGTGCAACAGAGCAAGACTCTGTCTCAAAAAGAAAATGTTGTGTTTTAATCAGATGCAAGGTTGCCTTTGTGTGTAGCAAAGATGGGGTCTCTTACCTGTTATGATTTGAGGCCCCCAGGGAAGGACCCAATTCCCTAGTCTGCACATCCTCTGGTCTGATGGAGTGAAATACCACCACAGATCATCCTGCACCCAAAAGGCTTTTTCAGTCCTCAAACATATCTGTTTGTTGTTGTTTAATTTTTGATACAGAGTCTTGCTCTGTTGCCCAGGCTGGAGTGATGTGGTAAGATCTTGGCTCCCTGTAACCTCTGCCTCCTGGGTTCAAGCAATTCTCATGCCTTAGGCTCCCAAGAAGTTGAGATTACAGGCACACTCCACAATGCCTGGCTAATGTTTTTGTATTTTTAGTAGAGATGGGGTTGCACCATGTTGGCCAGGCTGGTCTTGAACTCCTGGCCTCAAGAAATCCACCTGCCTCTGCCTCCCAAAGTGCTTGTATTACAGGTGTGAACCACTGCGCCTGGCCCAAATATACCTTTTAAAGCATAATACATTAACCCCAAAACTGAAGTAATCACTTAATGTCATTTTAACAAACTCCTAGAAATCTCAGTTTAAATGCATTTTTATATTGAAGGCTTCCCTATTACCTCCCAGTGAACTTTGTAGTCTTTCTCTATGGAGTTAGCAGGAACTATGTATAGTTTTGCTTCTGTATTTCTTCTTGCTTTAATGAAACCATCTATTTACAATAAGTCACTCTCTCTGCAATCAGCATTTTGGGAAAGAAGAAGTCAGGGTTAATATTTATCAGGAAATAAGGTTTGATATGTCACCGTTCTCTGGGCAATCGTTTATTCCAGTTGTCTTGGAACAATTATTGACAGTGTCTCCTCTCACTCTCAGAAGTGCAACCTGGGAGGCAGAGGTTGCAGTGAGATGAGATTGTGCCAGCGAGGGTGCAACAGAGCAAGACTCTGTCTCAAAAAGAAAAAAAAAAAAAAAGAAGTGCACAGTTCAATGCTAAGGCATGCATAAGACTTTTCTTCTGAGAGTGACCATTTTCCCCTGCTCACGGCCTCAGCTGAATTCTGCGTGTGCTTCTCAAGAAGTGAAGCACTTGGTTTAGCAGGGCAAACCCACTGGTGTGGCCCTTGTGCAGGAGGAAGGATTTTTCCCTGGAATTCCGTTTCCACAGGGAGAGTGTCCCTGTGGTATCTCTCTGTGGAAATGGGATTCCAGAGAAAAATTTGCTGGTCTGCAATGGGCATGAGGTTGGGAGAGAAACCTTCCCCAGAGTCACACTGTGCCAAAGTAACAAAGCAAAATGAAGCAACGCACCTGCCACCATGAGGTGCAGGATGGCCTCATCGTAGGACCTGCCTTCTTGGAAGTAACAGCGGTAGGTGCCGTTCTCCTGAGCTGTGACGTTGTGTATGATCAGGGCCACGCTGCCCCTGCTGATGTCTTTGCTCACAAAGGTGGTTCTTCTTCGGTACTCCTCCATCTGCTCCTCTGTTCTCTCTCTCCCACCCTTATACACAAACACTGCGGGGGAGAACTGAGACCGGAACCACCGCACCTCCATGTCCTCAGCATTTTTCTCGGGTGACAGATGGCAGCGTAACATAGTGTTTTCTCCCACCATGGCCAGGATGGGATCAGTGGGCCCCACGACAGTAAACTGGGCTGTTCAACAAAGGAGTAGAGTCAGACAAAGACATCAGCCATCACATTTCTAAGGCAGAAAGGGAAGCAGATATTCCGGGGATAAACATATTCTTTCCATGGCCATAGGGTCTCTTTGGGCTGAGAAATCTGGGGACCAGTAGTTGTGGGTGTCAACAGCACCCCTGGGAGCAGTAACTATAAAATGTGCTTCTGCTTCATGAAGGAAACCCTGGGGAGCCCGCCCTGAGCACCCTCTGTCCACCCTGTGTCCTTGAGGGGTTTTTCCTCCATTCCCCAATCCTGCGCTGTGCCTGAATGTAGTGTAAACTTGAGCCATGCAATAGAGCACCTACCCACTAGCTAGTTCCAGTTGAAATTAGTTGTAAGTGTAACATACACACAGGATTATTAAGATTTAAAATTTCAAAATATTGACTATCTCATTGGTAATATGGTATATTAACTAAGTATTTAAATATTCATGTTTGATTATTTGGGGCAAAACAAAATATAGTATACAAACTTATTTCATATTTCTTTTCACTTTTTAAAATAAAAAGTAAAACTTAATTTTTTTAAAAAACATGCAATTGTACATGCAATTGTACAATTGGCCTCTGTGCCTCACTGTATTTCTTTTGGACAGTGCTGGTGTAAATTCAGTGAACATGTTCAAAATTAAAGGATAAGTCAACAACTCCATAGTCCTTCTTTCTTTTTTTCCCTTTGCAGACTACATAGTTGATGTTCCTTTCTGATAGGTAACAGCAGCAAGTGGGACACATCGCTACCTGAGACCAGTGCACACAGTCGGAGAAGAAGGAGGAGGAGGATGAGGGAGGCTGGCAGGGAGAAGTGCAGGGCAGCAGCTGGTTCCATGAGCACCCAGAGCAGGCAGGGACGGGAAGCCTAGGGTTACAGAGCAGAATCAGCCTAGGAGTCTTGGCATCTCAGTGCTGGTCGGGCCCAACCTCTCCCGTTACTCAAGTAGGTCTCATCAGTGCCCCAACGTCATGGAGTCCCCTGCATCCGAGAGCTGAGGTATCTCCTGAGAGAGGGATTCCTTAAACATTCCATGAAATAAGCCATCAATGCCAAGATCAAGGGGGCGTTTTTCTGCCCTCCTCGGCTGACTTCTCTGGCCAGAATCTGGTTTCTTCAGTTGTCGCTGGATTCTATCACACCTTCCTCCCTTCACTTCCTCCTCCCCGAGACCCAGGCTGGGTCACCCGAGGCTAAGCCAGGCCAGGCCGCACCTACCCACCAGTGGGCTTCCCCTCTCCCAGAACCCCATCTCATGTCCACAGGAGATCCTGCTTCCCCCACCTCCTGTGCCCACCCTGGAGCCTCCCCTCCCTTTCGTACCTTCGAGAATTGACGTTGCATTTTCTTTTCTTCTCTGGTTCTCAAATTAAGGGAGGAGACCACCCCTCATGTTGTATTATGCCCGATTTCTGCCTGCAAAGAAAGAGCAAGTAAAAATTAAAGGCAGAAATGCAATCCATAGGTAGACAGCTCGGTGCTGCACCCTGGGCCTGGTAGTTAAAGATTAACCCCTGACCTAACCCGTTATGTTATCTATAGATTCCAGGGGTTGTATGGAAAAGCATTGTAAAAATTCCTGTCCTGTTCTGTTCCGTTCTGATTACCGGTTCTGTTCCGTTCTGATTACCATTTTTGAAAAAAAAGAGAGGATGTTTGCAACAAGTGAAAAAAGTTAAGTCATGTCAAAGAATTATCTGTGAAAGTCATAAGAAAATGGTTATAAAAAGAAATTCATGCAAGAAATGTTGTATAATTTAAAAGTAAGTAGGCATCCTAAATGTAAAACTATTAAATAAACAGTTTATGTACAAGGTATATAAGAAAAGTAAAATATACTTTTGGTAGAATAATTATAAGGAGGCATAAGAATGTAAAGTTGTACCTACATTAAAAGGTTAAAAATATGTATATTTTGTTTTAAAGGTTTAATCAAGTTTTAAAATGTTAATTGGAAACAAAAATTCTGTGTGTAAACATTGACTAAAGTTAAAGAGGTATCATCCAGTTTTTCTGTAAACTGGACATTAAAATAAAAACATAACAGGTTTTTCTTAAAGTACCAACCTGCTCTTTAGCAAAAATTATAAAAGGTTAAAAAGAGTCTATAAAATCTTATCTTATGGTCAAACATTAAAAATTGGATAAATATGTCTACAAGGTTTTATTAAAATTGGGTTTAACATTAATAACACCCTAATATAAAGGTAAAATTTAGCTTATCTGGTATAAAAATCATACAGGAAGCATTGTTAAATGTAAAATAGTATTTGACTTTCTTTGGTTTAAAAACTAATAAAAATAGGTGTTAAAGAAAATTTCTCAGTAAAAAGGTACTGAGGACAATAAAGTCCACTGCCAAAGTCCCCACATTGAAAACAAAAGGTCAATTTCTTAAAAATTATATACTTGGTTTAGTCTTTTAGCACATGTACCACCCCTAGAATTTCCGGTAAATCAGCACCAGCCTGAAGATCATGTTCTCATCAAAGGGTGGAAAGAAGAAAAACCCCAGCCAGCCTGGGAAGGACCCTACCTTGTGCTGCTAACTACCAAGACTGCTGTTCGTATAGCAAAAAAGGATGGACTTATCACACCGCAGTCAAGAAAGTGCCACCCCCTCCAGAGTCGTGGGCCATAGTCCCAGGGGAAAACCCTACCAAACTAAAGCTAAGAAAAATTTAACTCTTTTCATCTATTCTGTTACTCTTTCTTCTTTCCTCATTCTATTACTGACCATCTAGTTATTAACATAACCAAGTCAATTTCGCCTCAAACTACTGCATTTAATGCTTGCCTTGTTATTCCCTGTGGAGACTTGCCAAGTCAAAGATAGCTTTCTATTTCAGAAAAGTACTTCTGTCCTTCCTGACTCTCCTCAGACTGGGCAATAGTAAAGTATTTGAGACTCCATCTCAAAAAAAAAAAGGATCAAATATTCCATCTGCACGTTAAACATAAGCAATTGTTAGGCTTCTGCACATGGCAGGCCAGAGACCCAGATTGACCCCTTCCACTAAGGTGGTCCTCCAGTCGACCAGGCATAGGTTGTATGGTAGTTCTTTTCCAGGAATCTACAGCCTGGAGTAGTAAGTCATGCCAAGCTCTCACTTCTATATCCCGAAGTCCGGCACCCTGCGGGTCAGCCCCTGAGGGCCATCCAGCTTCCATCTCCCAACACTAAGTTCACTTCGTGTCTCTCAGGAGAAGGAGGAAACTTAGCATTCCTTGGAGACCTGAAGGGATGCAATGAGCTTAAGAATTTTCAAGAGCTTATCAATCAGTCAGCCCTTTCTCATCCCCGAGTGGATGTGTGGTGGTATCGTGGTGGACCTTTACTGGGCACTCGGCCGAATAACTGGAGTGGCACTTGTGCTTTAGTCCTTTTGGCTATCCCTTTCACCCTGGCATTTCATCAACTAGAGGGAGGAAAAATAAGACATCGTAAAGCAAGAGAAGTCCCTTATGGGTCTTTTGACTCTCACATCTATTTAGATGCAATTGGAACCCCGCAAGGAATATCAGATCATTTTGAAGCTTGAAATCAAATAGCTACAGGATTTAAGTCAATATTTTAGTAGATGACAGTTAATAAAAATGTAGATTGGATAAACTACATCTATTACAACCAACAGCAATGAGTTTTTCATGAGTTAAAAGAAAAACTCAGATCGGCCCCAGCCCTGGGGCTACCTGACCTGACAAAACATTTTACACTCTGTATGTCAAAAAGAGAAAAAATGACAGTTGGAGTTTTAACTCAGACTGTGGGGCCCTGGCCAAGGCCAGTGGCTTATCTCTCAAAACAACTAGACAGGGTTTCCAAGGGCTGGCCCCCATATCTAAGGGCCCTGGCAGCAATGACCCTGTTAGCACAAGAAGCAGATAAGCTAACTCTTAGGCAAAACCTAAACATAAAGTCCCCCCATGCTGTGGTGACTTTAATAAATACCAAAGGACATCATTAGCTAATGAATGCTAGACTAACTAGATACCAAAGCTTGCTCTGTGAAAATCCCCACATAACCACTGAAGTTTGCAACACCCTAAACTCTGCCACCTTGCTCCCAGTATCAGAGAGCCTAGTTAACATAACTATGTAGAGGTATTGGACTCAGTTTATTCTAGTGGGCCCTACCTCCAAGACCATCCTTAAACATCAGTAGACTAGGAGCCATACGTGGATGGGAGCAGCTTCGCCAACCCCTGCAAAGCGACTCTGAAAAAGACAACAAGCCCTGCTCCAGTCACACCCAGAAGCTGACTGGTCTACGCAAGGCCGAAGCATGAGGAAACTCATTGCGGGATTCATTTTTCTTAAAATTTGTACTTGTGCAGTAAGGACTTCAACTGATCTTCCTCAGACTGAGGACTGTTCCCAGTATATGTATCAAGTCACCGAGGTAGGACAAAAGATTGCTACAGTCCTATTATTTTATGGTTATTATAAGCGTACTGGGACTCTAAAAGAAACTTGTTTGTATAATGCTATTCTATCCAAGTTATGTAGCCCAGGAAATAACCAACCTGATGTGTGTTATGACCCATTTTAAGCCTCCCATGATCACAGTTTTTAAAATAAAATTAAAGACTAGTCCTTTTCTAGGTGATAAAAGTAAAGTAATAGCTAGGACAGAAGAAAGAGGAGTCCCCAAGCATATAACCCTAAAATTTAATGCTTGTGCCACTATCAATAGCAATCAGCATGGAATAGGAGGCGGTTCTTTAAATTGAGAAACAAAAAGTTATACGGCAGGAAATAAGTATATCTGCCATGAATTAGGCTTATGTGCAAATGTGTGTAATTACTGTCTTGTGTCTTCTAGACTACTTAGAAAAAGGATGAAAAATATCCTGTTTAGCTCCAAAAAGGAGAAGGCAGCCCCTCCTGTACAAGTGGAAGCTGCAACCCCTTGAAATTAGTAATTACAAATCCCTTAAACCCAAGGTGGAAAAAAGGAGAACATGTATCTCTGGGCATCGATGGAAAAGGACTAGATCCTAGAGTAAATATCTTAGTAAAAGGGGAGGTTCGTAAACTCTCTCCAGAACCAGTATTTTGGACTTTCTATGATGAACTAAATGTGCCAGTACCAGAGACTCCAGGAAAAACCAGAAATTTGTTTTTGCAATTAGCCGAGCATGTAACCCAGTCTCTAAATGTCACTTCATGTTATGTTTGTGGATTAACTTAAATGGGAAATCAATGGCCATAGAAAGCCCGAGAATTAGTGTCTACAGACCCAGTTCCTGATGAATTCCCAGCCCAAAAGAATCACCCTGATCATTTCTTGGTTCTAAAAGTCTCAATTATTGGACAGTATTGCATAGCTAGAAAAGGGAAAGAATTCATTCATCTTGTAGGACGACTTAGTTGCCTGGGACAAAAACTGTATAACGGTACCACAAAAACAGTTACCTGGTGGAGTTCAAACCACATAGAGAAAAATCCATTCAGTAAATGTCCAAAGTTGCAGACCGTTAAGGCCCACCCAGAATCCCACCGGGACTAGACGGCCCCCACTGGGCTATACTGGATATGTGGACATAGAGCCTACACTAAGCTGCCTGATCAGTGGACAGGTAGTTGTGTTATTGGCACTGTTAAACCATCTTTCTTCCTACTGCCCATAAAAACAGGTGAACTCTTGGGCTTCCCTGTCTATGCTTCCCATGACAAGCGAAACATAGCCATAGGTAATTGAAAAGATGATGCATGGCCTCCTGAAAAAATCATACAATACTCTGGACGAGATGGCTCATGGGGATACCAGCCCCCCATTTACGTGCTCAACTGAATCATGTAAATGGGGGTCTGTTGCAAGCTGTCTTGGAGATCATCACTAATAAAACTGGTAAAGCCTTGACTGTTCTGGCCCGGCAAGAAACTCAGATGAGAAATGCTATCTATCAAAATAGATTAACTCTCAACTACTTGCTAGCAGCTGAAGGAGAAGTCTGTGGAAAATTTAATCTTAACAATTGCTGCCTGCATGTAGATGATCACGGGCAAGTAGTCAAAGATATAGTAAAGACATGATGAAACTGGCACATGTACCTGTACAAGCATGGCACAGATTTGACCCTGAGGCTATGTTTGAAAATGGTTCCCTATTGACGGTTCAAAGATGGCCGAATA